TTGTGAGGGAAAAGACAATATAACCTGGTGGTTAAGGACAAGGGCTTTAGAAACCCAGATGGGTTCTGCTTTCTACCTGTGTGACTTGGTACATGGCTTCTAATAAACCCGGGCATTAGTATCTTCATTTATGAAATTAGGATGATACCCACCTTGCAGGCATGTTACAAAGATTCTACGGTAATATGTATGAAGACCTTGACACAGTGTCAGGATGACTATTATTTCAGCATTTTGGTTACACTTTTGCTGAGAACCACATATGCAATTTTCTGGCCCAAACTGTGCAGTAGGAAAGAAGGATAAGCCATCAGCAGAAAATTCCCAGGACTGGAAGTTATGGACCATCTTTTACCCTGGTGACTGAGCATCCAGTCAGGGCTACAGAGCATTATGCAAGTAGTTGGGGACATAGAGGAGCATAAGGAATGGTCACTGACTTTACGGAGCTTACAGCCTCTTAGACATGAAGTGCCACAAATAAAAAACAAAGCAGTATAGAAATAAAAAGGGGAGAAGAGACAAATCTCCCTTGTAGGAAAATTCTCAATAACTGATGTAGCGGCTCTGCCCTCAAGGAGGCTGATAACTCCTTACTATTTAAGGATACACATCCTCCCAAAGAGGACAATATGGAAAGGGGGAACAAAAGAATAATTTTACCGTAGAGAAACCTGACAAACTGTCTCAGCCAGATGACCAAGGTCAACATCAACAGTGATAAGTCACACCGATACTATGTAACCTTGATATGATGTGATGTATTACAGTACCTCTGTGGTCCTCCTTTCTGAAACACATAAACCCAGTCTAATAGTGAGATACACGTCAGACAAATCCCAATTGAGGAACACTGTACAAAAGACCTGATCAGTACTTTTCAAAGATGGTGAGGTCATCGAGGTCATCAAAATAAAAAACATTGAGAAAGTGTCACAGGGTGGAGGAGTCTAAGAAGACGAGCTGACTAAATGCAAGGTGGTATCCTGGATAGGATCCTGGAAGAGAAAAAGGACATTAGATAAAAACTAAGGAAATCTGTATAAAACAGCGACTTCAATCCATGTTAATGCATTAGCATTGGTTCATGAATTGTGACAACTGAACAATACTAATGTTAGATCTTAATAACAGGGGAAACTGAGTGTGTGGCATAAAGGAATTCTACTATCTTACCAATTTTTCTATAAACCTAAAGCTGGTCAAAAGCCTAAATGTATAGGGTGTTGGTCAGGACTGACTGATGTCCCTTTAAAAAATGAAAACAAAATACCAACAAGAAGAACATAAAAACTTCAGGGTAAGAGCAGATTCATACTTAGGTAAGAACAAAACAGAGCTATCAGCTGTAAGCTAGAGGTTATCCATGTAGACAATGAGCCAAATCCACCCAGAGACCCACTTGATGCTCTTCTTCAGAAACTCTCCCAGGGCTATCAGCAGCATCCTAAAGCCTGAAGATGCCATCCAGGGTATCAGTTTCAGAGGCAACCCACTCCCTTCTCAATGCCAACCCATTTTGTGATCGGACAACACATGCAGGAAAAACTGCTTTTGAAAATGAGCTTTCAAACTTTCTGTTAAGGGTTGTTTTCAAACAACCATCAGGCCAGAAGATGCTTTCATGTTTTATTAGGGGAACACAGTAGGCACATTTAAGGTGGAATTGTAATGAGATCCAACCAGTCCACCCTAAAGGAAATCAGTCCTGAATATTCACTAGAAGGACGGATGCTGAAGCTGAAACTTCAATACTTTGGCCACCTGATGCAAAGAGCTGACTCATTGGAAAAGACCCTGATGCTGGGAAAGACTGAAGGCAGGAGGGGAAGGGGACGACAGAGGATGAGATGGTTGGATGGCATCACTGACTCAATGGACACGAGTTTGAGTAAACTCTGGGAGTAGGTGATGGACAGGGAGGCCTGGGGTGCTGCAGTCCTTGGGGTCGCAAAGAGTCAGACAGGACTGAGCAACTGAACTGTAATGAAAAGATAATGAAAGAAGAATGAAAAATTAGAACTATTAACTTAACCTCTAGCATTGACCTGAGTATTATGCCCTCTGAGCTGTACATTAGAATCACCTGGAGAACTTTAAAAACTCCTCATGCCCTGGTCCTGGCTCAAATCAGAATCTCCGGGGTGGGGCCCAGGCTTCAGTACTTTTTAAAACTCCCCAGGTGACTGCATTGGGCAGCCCAGTTAGCAATCCTCTGCTCTACAGGGAGTTAGTCTAAACTCTGAATATCAAATACTCTTAATTAAAGCTGGATTAAACCAGGCATCCTGGGAGTACAAAACCCTGAGATATTACTCAGTTGAATATAAAACTATAATTTTAACAATTTGTCTTTTTAAGTCAAACGTACACAGATTTGACTTTCCCTCTTCTTCAGATATTTCCACAGCAGAAGCAATTACCTCTTAAGTTCAGATCTTTTTTTTTTTTCCCTCAGTATACTTAAGGTGAGCGTGAGGTACAAACTAACTGAGAATAAGAAATCTCATCCCCATTCCGCCACCCTCCGCAGTTGGCCTTTCAAAATAGAAAAATAAAGACTTCTCTTAAATGTTTCAAAACAAAATAATTAAGATGTATCTTTGGGTAAATAACCCATGAAACCCAATGAGGTATTTCCTTTAGTTTTTAGTAGTCACAGACTCAGGGTCACTCACGAAAATAGTTGCATAGTTCTGATTCTGCCAAATGGCTCAGTGAAATTACATCACAGGAGGGCTGTGCCCTGTGGGAGTTCTGAATAGCACGCACCCTTCAGCCATGTGCCTACTGCCTGCTAAGCTGTGGAGTGGTAGCCTTTTTCCAAGATGTGAACTCTTCCTAAACAGATAAAACAGCATGATGACAATCTGCCCAGCCTAATTGGAGGAGGTTATCCAAACCTGACAGAGGATGCTCAACAAACAAGATAAAGACAGCTTTAATTGTCCTGAAGGCTTACAATTCCTCCCAAGCAAAGTATCGGTGGCAGTGGCTATAGAGCTGGGTTTCTAAGAAAAGGGTAGCTCTTTCTACCATGAGAGGGATTAAATCTTTAAGGCAGCCTCTTTTTCTCCGAAAGGCATTTAGATAGTAAAGGGGAATGAAATTAACCCTCCCTTACCCCTCGCCTGGTCCTATACTGACTCATTTCAGATGGAAAGGACAGCTGTAAAACCAGGACAGCACTTGGCTTCCAGGTGGTGGTGATATGTTTGTTTAGGATTAGGAATACTATTCAGCAGTAAAAAAGAAGGGAATAGGTGTACATGCTACACATGAATGAAACTCAAAAAATTATGCTTAGTAAAAGAAGTCACATATTATATCATTCCATTTATATGAAACACCAGTAAAAGCCAAATCTTTAGAGACAGGAAGTGGCTTGGTGTTGCCTAGGGCTGAGGGTGGGAGAGACAACTGGTGGCCAACAGCGTGAAGGGGCCCTTTTGGGGATGGATGTAAACTCTGGATGTAAACTTATTAAAAATGATGAGAGTTACTGAAAAGGGATGGATTTTATGGTACAAAAGTTACTGGTTATTCTTTAGGCCTAAATAAAGTTCTGTTCTTTGGACAAACAAAAAAACTTTTAAAAAGACGAAAACGTGCCACCTCTCCTGGATCTGGGAGTCGGTTCCTCAGGGGTCATGCAAGTCACCTGTCTGTCACTTACACGCCCCATGAATTCTACTTTCTCCGGTTTCCTCACGTAAAAAGTCAGCAGGGGGAGAGAAATAGAGGGTGTTAAGCACGTTCCCAAATCTTAAATTTATGCAACCACAGCAGACACCAGGACTGGGAATCTGAAAGGCAGTCAAACACAAACGCTTCTTAATCTGGAAAAGAAGAAAAAGCAAATGTGATGCAGAGTCCGGGCTCCACGGCACAGTAGACGGAGTCGCCGGAGAAAAACCGACTCCGGCAGAAGCCAAGTCGGTAAACCAACTCGGGAGGCTGGATCCCTAAGATCCCAAAGATAACCAGTCGGTGGATGGGGTTTCTCACGAATACGGGGCACGCGTGATCACACCCGGGTTGGCCTGACTTTAGAAGTACACCGTGGGAACAAAGTAGGAAGTTTGCTGCCGCGGGAGCACAAGTCGGGAAGTTTGTTTCCGAGGCCGCGTGTGTACCTGGTAGCTCTCCTTGGGGCCCAAGGCCTCCGCGTTCGCGGCGCCGCCGCTCCCGCCGCGGGGACCACTCCTCCCCAGGCCCGAGAGTCAGGCCAGCTCCCTCGAGCCCTGGAGGGGTCTCCACACGTCGCGCAATCTCCCTGCCGGAGCGCGGTCCCGCCGCCGTCTCACACGCGTCCCGAAGGCCCTGCCGCCTGCTCCCTCGAGGTCCCCGGGCCTCCCTCTCCCCCGGGGATGGACGCGGCGTCCAGGGGGCCGAGCCCCTCGCCGCGGGGGTGGTGCCCTGGCGCTGCTTCACCCCGGGGCGGGGCAGGGAGGAGGCGGGGGCGCGGGAGGAGCTGGGCGGCCGCCACCCGGCCCCCGGGGCCCCGCTCGCACCCGCTCCCCGCGCGCCCCCCGCACAGTGCTCATGCGCGCGGCGCAGCCTTTATAGCCGCGCGGGAGCCGCGCTTTCCGCACTCGGCGCAGCCAGGCGGATCCGACTCAGGTGCAGAGCCCCCGGCGTCCGGCGTGGGCTTGAGGGTCCCTGCAGCCAGCCGGTTCTCTCTCCCCTCTGTCGCTCCCAGTGTGTCTGTCTGTCTGTCTTCAGAGCGCACGCTCCTCCTGGTCCGGGGTTGCACCTTGATTCTGGGTTTGGCTCGGTTTGCAGCCCGAGCGTCGCCTCCAGCTAGAGAAGGGGGCACGAGCTCCGGGGCAGGGGCCTTTCTGGGCTCCCCCTCTCCTTGGCCGTACCTCGGTTTCCCAGGAGTGCGGGGGCTGTGGGGGGCATCCCGCACGCGCGGGCGGGCGCGGTGGGGGTGGGGACGCAGGGGTCTCAGTTGCATTCTCCGTCTCTCCCAGGTCCGAGCCCCTCGACCACCAACCATGTGGGCATCCTGGATCCCGGTCCTCTGCCTCGGTGGGTACGCGCCCCTCCCCGCCCCCTTGCCCTCGCACCGAGCGCGGTGGAAGCTGGAGTCAGCCCTCGCGCTGTCCTCTCTCCGCAGGTGTCTGCCTGCTGCTGCCGCCGGAGCCCGTAGGCAGCGAGGGAGCCGGTGAGTTGCGGGTCCCGGCTCGCGGAGCAGGGCTTCGTCCGGGTGGTGGGAGGGGCTGCGAGCGGGCTCGTGGAATCGCGCTCAGATGGAGCCGCTGGGCCAAGGCCGGGTACCCGAGCATCAGGGCGCAAGGGCTGGCGCTGCTGCCTGGCTCACCCCATTCATATCTACAGCCTGACTACTCTGGCTTCCCCGTTTGTCCCTCGCGAAGGAGCTCCTGGGGTCCGATGGGGACAGTCTTCCCAAGGTGCGGAGAAGCCTCCCACATTCCCCTTCCCCCCCAGCAAGCCGAGCAGACTGTCAAGGCTAGGGGTATTTGTTGAGCCCCACCGAGGGACACACTAGTCCCGGGTGTTCCGCGGCGTTTGGGATCAGGGAGAAGCCTTCAGACTGTCAGAGGGAACAGAGAGAGAGAGAGGTTTCAGGCTTGAGACACTTACGTCGTTGTCCCATCTCGTTTGACCCTCTTTCTGTGTTTCCAGGAATGCCCCCCTATAATAGCATCTATGGGCTCATTTAACATTCGAGAGAATCTAAAAGTAGTTTGTTCCCCATCTAGAAGTCCGAGTAAGGATGTGTGATTCGGTGTATTTTATAAAATGTAAAAAGCAGACGGTCTTTTCAAAATCTGTCCTGTATTTTCCTTGAAAGGAGAAATGAAGGTAAGTATTGCAGAGGACTGTATTCAGCGCCCCCTGACACACACACTGAAGTCAGAGCTGGCAGCTAAAGGCAGAGCCTCTCTGGTGCGTCCGAAACTGGGAGGTAGGATTGAGGCAGTTTGGTAACAGGTTTGAAACACATAGTATGAGGCTGCTGGTTTGGGTAAGGATTTTAACTTGACCAGCAATCTAGAGTGTTTCAGAGCATTCATAGTCAGCATTGTACTTTTCGTGAAGTCCTGCCTTCCCTTCCATGGACGTATATAGTCCAGGGTACAGCTTGGCACAGAGAGCTCTTAGAAGACGCTCCTTGTTAGAGGTAGGATACTCAGTTGGGCATATGACAAGACAGCATTACTATCTTGGGGGAAAAAAAAACATTTTCTTAAAATTATTAACATCTGTTTCAAAAAGGTTTGGACAACCACAATTTCCAGTGTTTGGAAAATGGTATTTAATAACAATATTTAATAATTCAATTTAATCAATTTAATATTCACAGCAAATTGATGAATTAACGTTTATCTTGTTACATGTTGCCAAGGGCTTGTCTCTAACAACTTTTGTAGTAATAACTGGGATTATTCATCAAGTTGATCATGTAAAACCTCAGTGTTATCGCAGGCAGATTCTTTACTCTCTGAGCCACCAGGGAAGCCCTCAGTATTAACAGTGCCTTCTAAAACTGCATTCGCTGCCTGATATATCTCCCTGCACAGATCTGGAGCAGAAATAAGCTGGTTCAATTCAGATAAAAATGCTCTGTTCTGAAGGGGACTAACTCCTCTGTTTCCTGCCCTGCAGGAGAGGTAGAATTTTCCTTGAGCTGTGTGACCTTGGGCAAATTAACCTCATGGCTTTATTTATTTCAGCTAAAATGCATGGTTGAGCTAAATGGTGTTCTTTAAAGTGAAGCATCTTTTGACTGATTTGCTTAACTTAAAATATAATTTTAATGCACAGCACTTGACGAAAACTGATATAAATGGCCCTCCAAAGTAAAGCATGACTTCAATTTGTGTCTGTCATGAAAATGTTCCTCAGAGGTTCAACCCATTTTTAATAGCTTCACCTCAGGCAACTATGTACACAATTATAATCAGAGTTGAGATTCCTGTATTTTTAGAATGAATTAATAAATGGCCAATGACTAACATTATTTTCTAGTTCTCATATATTTCCAAACTAATAAGAACTGAGAAAATGCTCCCATTAGACTTTATAGGGTCTGAGGACTAGATTAATTGGAAAACTTACTTTTGGCTTGCTAAAATCTGGAATGGTGTGGAACTGTACCTAAGTCAATATTCTTAACAAAAAGTGTAGAAATTAGGAAAGTAAAATTTTAATCTCACATCTTTGTTCCCCCACCACTACTGACCTAAAAGCCCCAAGAATTGTTATTACATTCTCTCCTTTCTCTTCAGTTCCCATTGCTATTACATGCTTTACCAGAGGCCTGGACATCAGGAAAGAAAAAGCAGATGTCCTCTGCCCAGGCGGCTGCCCTCTGGAGGAGTTTTCCGTGTTTGGGCACATAGTGTACGCGTCTGTATCAAGCATATGTGGTGCCGCTGTCCACAGGTAAGCCCGGATACACCAAGGGGAGAGAAAAACAAGTGTGATTATTTCCTTTCCCTCGTTAGCCATCTGGACACCCCCTCCCACCTATTCTTTCTTTTGGTACCAATCTTGGCCATAGAAAATGGATACATTTTTGAGATTTTCCTGGATCTCCTTGCATCACCAACCACATAAGGGAAGCTTCCTGAATAAAGGCAAATTGCATTATTATTTGATAGCTTGCTTCTTGTGATTCTAAAACACTCTTATGGTTTCCCTGGTGGCTCAGATGGTAAATGCAAGAGATCTGGGTTCGATCCTTGGGTTGGGAAGATCCCCATGGAGGAGGAAATGGCAACCCACTCCAGTATTCTTGCCTGGAGAATCCCATGGACAAAGGAGCCTGGTGGGCTACAGTTCGACTGTGACTCATGGGGTCACAAAGAGTCAGACACCACTGAGTGACTAAGCACAGGAAAGATTCCTAACCATGTACTCTATTACTGAGTTTTTACTACACAGCAGTCATTATCTTAACTTCCAAGACAACAGTACAGCTGTGCAAGGTAGATACAATTTTACCCCATTTTACAGATCAGGAAACTGGATTCAGACAGTTGTCAAGTATCTCGCCCAAGGTTATCATTGTTAGCAAGTGCCAGAGCTGGAACTGAAAGCCCAGGTCTGCCTCCAGAGCCCATATTCATCACCACTCTGCTATCCTGCAAGAGAATGGCCAGGATGACACTTCTTTTCAATGAAGTCCAAGGACAGGTAGTTAAGTATTTTGGAAAACTAAGAAAATCATTTGACGCTCTTAAAACTCTGATCCTCTGACCTATATGTAGGGAACAGGATACTCCAAGTGTGTCCTTATTAACACTAAAGAAGTTTAACAGCACAAAACCATTTCCTTGGGCAGATTTTGTACCTCTGCAAGTTTTTAAAAAGATTGACAGTTTTTTTTTTTTAAGATTGACAGTTTTTAAAAAGGTTGATGGCTTCCCTGCTGAACTGTTTTCTTGATTAGTCAGAGCAATAGATGCAACATAGCAGTATAGTCAGTCAAATGCCCCTGCAAAAGTTTGGATAGAACTCAGCTGCTATTCTTGTGTTGCAGGGGGGTAATTGGCAACTCAGGGGGACCTGTAAGAGTCTATAGCCTGCCAGGTCGAGAAAACTATTCCTCAGTAGTTGCCAATGGCATCCAGTCTCAGACGCTTTCCAGATGGTCTGCTTCTTTCACAGTGACAAGTAGGTACAATTAAATTGTTCTTACTTTTGCATAAATATTTTCTCCCTAACCCCAAAAATGTTCTCTGCTTTTCTCAGCTCAAACTCTTTGACTCTGATGGAAAAACTTGTGACCAAGCCTGGAGAAGTCAACTATAGGTTAAAGTCAGGGGACATGAAGAGTCAGGGACACACTCAAACCAAACTTGGGTGAATGGAGGGAAAAATCATCTTGCTGCCAGAAGATGGCAATAGAAACTTGAATCGCCTGCAGTCAGAATGTCCCGACATTGAACAAATAACCCTAAAAAAAGAATGAGTGTGAATTCATTTTATGATGATCTCTTAAAAATATGACACAGTAGATTCATTTTGGTTCTTTGAAACTACATGCAGCAACTACTCCTGTAATTGCCACTACTCTATTACATTTATCATCCTATAGAACTCTAAATTATTAGTTATTCTTTGATGGTAAAGAAGGAACAGGGAAAACATAGTCTTCTTTTTATTTTAACAGAAGGCAAAAGTGGTACCCAGGAAGCCACAGGACAAGCAGTGTCCACAGCACATCCAGCAACAGGTATGAAATACAGAACCTGTCTCCTAATTGCCTGGCACAGCATTGGGAAGTTACAAATAAGTGTTATTGACAGAAGCTCTCCTTCTTTTTAAAATACTGATATTAAATAAATACAAAGCAAGTATCTTTACTGGTATATTAAGTAGGGAAACTTTCAGTATTATATTTCAAATTCCTTATCCTTTATTTTCATTGGTAACTCTGGTACCAAATGTTCTCTTGAAGTCCTACTGTTTCTCCCTGATTTGATAAACTATACCTGGAAACTGGTCTAAGTATCTTGAACTTCTCGTTCCATTTGTCATATAAAAAATAAATGAGTGCCTGTCTGTCTTAAAAATAGCCAGGGATCATCCTTTCAAAGACTGTGGCAATTTAAGTCAAAGAAGCTAAGCACATTAGAATCTAACCCTGAGTTTCCAATCCTGCCTCAATTGTGGATTTGGGATATCAAAGTCATGGATCAGGGGCACATTAAATATGTAGGTCTGCTACAGTCCTGACTTCTTTTTGGAGGCATTACTTCCTTAGTCCAGAAAATCATGAGGAAATTGATTTTTTTCAAAGAGTTTTTTCAAGAATGCCACTCCTTATCATGAGCTTTGTCCATGTGGGTTTCCTTCTGTGGAACTGTCTTCCTGTTGATAATGCCAAGTGCTTCTTTTGTTTTAGGTAAACGACTAAAGAAAACACCGGAGAAGAAAACTGGCAATAAGGGTAAGAGTCTGGATATTCATTTGGGAATGTAACATTTTTTCTCTCTCCTTTCTTCCTCTTCAAACTGCTAATGGAAAGATTTGTTTGGGTGTTCACAGACTGTAAAGCAGACATTGCGTTTCTAATCGATGGAAGTTTTAATATCGGGCAACGCCGATTTAATCTACAGAAGAATTTTGTTGGGAAAGTGGCTCTAATGTTGGGAATTGGAACCGAAGGACCACACGTGGGCCTCGTTCAAGCCAGGTACCACCCTTGAGAAAATGGAAGGAGACTTGAATGATGTCTTGAATGACAACAAATGATCCTTTTAGCGGGTACATTCATTTCAATTTGATATAAACATACTGAGTTGCAGACAGTCTGGATTCTCAAACTGTAAAGTCAGAATCTAAGACTGCCTGAGCAGACTGGTAAATGCTTCCTCTTTTGGAATAAAAGGATTTTGAGAATTACATGCTACCATTTGAGGACCAGAAGGCAGACTAAAGTCTTATTGCTCACATAGATTATCTCTGCACATCTACTTTGCTCAATTCCTAGTTTCTATTCACTGAAGGAGGAAGCTGTGATGTTTATTTCTCTTCCCTATCCTGTTGTTACTCTTTTTAGCTCTTTCCATATTCCCTTGACTGGCAATCTGAAGCTTAATCTTTTATTTTTAATAATATATACTGATGTCTTTTAGGATTATAATATGCTTATTAGAGAAAGCTTGAACAACATATAAAGCTTGAACAACATATAAAACACACAAAAAACAAATTTCCTAAATATACCTCTCAGAGATAATCAATATAAAATGTTGTATTTCCTTTCAGTATTTAAAAAAAATATTTGATTATACTTATGTGCATTTCTTTTTCAAAAGCTCAGATTATAAAAATGTCTTAAAACTTGCTTTTTTAAATTTTTATTAGTTGGAGGCTAATTACAATATTGTATTGGTTTTTGTCATACATTGACATGAACCAGCCATGGATTTACATGTATTCCCCATCCCGGTCCCCTCTCCCACCTCCCTCTCTACCCGATCCCTCTGGGTCTTCCCAGTGCACCAGGCCCGAGCACTTGTCTCATGCACCCAACCTGGACTGGTGATCTGTTTCACCATAGATAATATACATGTTTCGATGCTGTTCTCTTGAAACATCCCACCCTCGCCTTCTCCCACAGAGTCCAAAAGTCTGTTCTGTACATCTGTGTCTTTTTTGCTGTCTCGCATATAGGGTCATCGTTACCATCTTTCTAAATTCTATATATATGCGTTAGTGTACTGTATTGGTGTTTATCTTTCTGGCTTACTTCACTCTGTATAATAGGCTCCATCTCATTAGAACTGATTCAAATGAATTCTTTTTAATGGCTGAGTAATATTCCATAGTGTATATGTACCACAGCTTCCTCATCCATTCGTCTGCTGATGGGCATCTAGGTTGCTTCCATGTCCTGGCTATTATAAACAGTGCTGTGATGAACATTGGGGTGCACGTGTCTCTTTCAGATCTGGTTTCCTCGGTGTGTATGCCCAGAAGTGGTATTGCTGGGTCATATGGTGGTTCTATTTCCAGTTTTTTAAGAAATCTCCACACTGAGAGTCTTAATTGCTGGATCGCCAGGGGAGTCCTCTAGATAGAATTCTTTTGGTGTGAGAATCCACATTTGTTGTTTTTTATACATAATTTAACCATGTCCACCAAAAAACTGAGCTTTTTATTCCATTTGTGATATCAATTTATAACTTTAGACAAATGTTTCTTTGATCTGTATGTTAATTCTAACATCTTTTCTACAATGCTTTGATTATAGTAGCTTTAGTGTACATTTTAACATCTCATAGGGCAAATTCCTCTCAATGTTTTTCTTCTAATATTTTTTCTTTGCTGTTTTTACCCAATGGTTTTTCAAGATGAAAGTCTACACTACTTTGTAGACTCATACAAAGACTAGCTTCTCTATAAACTTCCTGCTTTATAATGTTTCTATTTTACAAAGAACATTAAATAGATAACTATGTCGTTTATGTCTAAGTAGAATAAATGTCTCATTAAGGATGCACAAATAAGACTAAACCACATAATTTGGATAGTTGCAAAATGACCATAAAAATGAAAAAGTTATTCATGACATCTGATTTTGTGACCCAACATTATATACTAGGTATGCAGAAATCATGCCACCAGAAATGCAGGAATACAATGAGTGGAATACTTGTCCTTCAGAAATCTTGACTTAATGGCAATTGATAATGCTAAGATCTTAAAATATTGCACTGATGAAATTTTGACTTATCTAAAAACTAAACACAATAAATTATACTGTTTTTACTCAACATGGGTTCTAATGAACAGAGTGGTTATAAAAGCTGAAATTTATACTATGTAAATAGTAAAGTTTACTATTAAATCTAAAAAATCTCAAATCTATTAAAATATATGTAATTTTAAGATTGGCAAATGTCAGTATCCTCTAAGAAAAATTCAGTATTATAATACTTTTATAATTTGTTTGCTTTTAAGTTCCCTTATTTTAAAAATGTTGGCCTTGGTGTCACTGAAATTGCCTTGTCTGATCAGAGAACCGGGTTAATAGACCCAGACTGTTCAGAGCTCCCAAGGTTCCTCCCTGAAGCAGACCTAGCCTCACACCCACCTGTGATTCAACCATCTGGTGCCCAACTCTGCAGATTTTCACTGCACTCAGTGCCCTGAGCCACTTGGTCTAGGTGCTTCATATAGTTTAGGAGTCAGGCAAACCTGAATTTTAAATGTGGTGGTTTGTTTTGTTTTGTTTTTTTTCTAGGTAAGTTACCTAAATGTTTTGGGCCTCCATTTTGTCATTTATTAATTGGGATATAATTTCTACCTTATAGAGTTATGAAGTGAGATTAGACTTGTAGCAGGTATTTAACATATTACTCAGAATCCAATAAACCCTCAAGGTAGCAATTGTTTTTGTTACATTTCTGAAAGAACCCTAAAACTTCAAGATGCCATACCTTAGTTGCCTGTATGCTGTGGAATTAAGAAACTTAGCCATTGTCCAATTTACAGGCTTTTTAAGAGGTACATAATGTTCCTTGTTTATCTTTCCAATTCTCTCTGAGTAACTTTTTCTCTTTTTTTTAACCTAGTGAACATCCTAAAATAGAATTTTACTTGAAAAACTTTACATCAGCCAAAGATGTTTTGTTTGCCATAAAGGAAGTAGGTTTCAGAGGGGGTAATTCCAATACAGGTAAGTAGACTTCGGTAGCTGGGGAGTGACACAGAGAAGGTTATGAATGATCAGAAACATAAGACAGTGTTATGCTATTTTATATAAGCAGATGTGAACCTCTTCCCCCTGGAATTGATCTTGGTTAGGTCTGCACTTGATCATCTATCTAATTTTTAATGCAAAACGTACCAAAGGGTTTACTGATATTGCTCATTAGAAAAACAAAAACATGACATTGTGACTCACAATCCTCATATTAGATAGGGCAGATGTCCAATTAGAGAAGTACCTGTTTAGAATGTTTAAAAGAAATGAAGATCAATAGACTCATCTAATGAATGCAGATGTGACAGAAAGAACAAGAAAAGAACTCTGGACCTTCTGAGGGGAGACTTCCTGTTCTGAGTCTGTAGTGGTACTAATCAGCCACCAAGGGGCTAGATGGAGAGAACAGGTACAGAAGTGGGAGTCAGTTCTGTGTTTGACTGGTGATTGATGTAAAGAAAGGAAATGTGAAGCTTCTGGGAGGTGATGGGGGATGTAGTGTGGGTTGTGAAGACAAAAAAATAGGCCTGATGGATAATTAAAGTTTCCCATCCAATGCATCTGTTAAAAAAGAATTGAGCTCTTTGTAAGTTAAATTCTTAAAACTGCAAAGCATGAAGTTGGTACAGGGACATAGAAATGTCAGTTGTGGTACAGGGACATAGAAATGTCAGTTGAGCAGTGGTGCTGTTCCAGTTTGCTTCTTTTTCAAACCTAGGAAAAGCCTTGAAGCATACCGCCCAGAAATTCTTCACCGCAGATACTGGAGTGAGAAAAGGGATTCCCAAAGTGGTGGTGGTATTTATTGATGGCTGGCCTTCGGATGACATCGAGGAAGCAGGCATTGTAGCCAGAGAGTTTGGCGTCAATGTATTTATAGTTTCTGTGGCTAAGCCTATCCCTGAGGAACTGGGAATGGTTCAGGATGTTGCATTTGTTGACAAGGTAAAGAGTTGAGAGATGTCTTTTGTTATAGTAGTGACTCAGTTTTGGACCTCAAGGGGTAGTGCTGACTGGCCCATATCTGGATTTACTTTGAACATTCAAGATTTAACATTTTAATAATTTTAAAGAAACAAATTGTAATTCCTTTGGATATCTTTTATGCGTCTTTCCCATTAGGCTGTCTGTCGGAATAACGGCTTCTTCTCTTACCACATGCCCAATTGGTTTGGCACCACAAAATACGTAAAGCCTCTGGTACAGAAACTCTGCACGCACGAGCAAATGATGTGCAGCAAGACCTGTTATAACTCAGTGAACATCGCCTTTCTGATTGATGGCTCCAGTAGTGTTGGAGAAAGTAATTTCCGCCTCATGCTTGAATTTGTTTCCAACATAGCTAAGACTTTTGAAATCTCAGACATTGGTGCTAAGATAGCTGCGGTACAGTTCACCTATGATCAGCGCACAGAGTTCAGTTTCACTGACTACAGCACCAAAGAGAATGTCCTAGCTGTTATCAGAAACATCCGCTACATGAGTGGTGGGACAGCTACTGGGGATGCCATTTCCTTTACTGTTAGAAATGTGTTTGGTCCCATGAGAGACAGCCCCAACAAGAACTTCCTGGTAATAGTCACAGATGGGCAGTCCTATGATGATGTTCGAGGGCCTGCTGCTGCTGCACATGATGCAGGTAAGGCCCATGTCCTTTGTGTGGGAAGGGAACTGGGAGGGTTTCAGTCAAATTTAGGGGTAAATATAAGCTTAAGTCTTGTTTGAACATCTACAGAATGGCAGTCATTGGTCTATGAGTTTTCCCCAGTATTAAGTGATTTCATTGTCAGAGCAACCCTACTACATCTCATCCTGTAGATAAGGAAACATACTCAAATCTCACCTAGTAAGTGATGAGGCCAATATTAAAACCCAGGCAGAGTATTAAAACCCCAAGGGGTTGGGTGGTTAAGGCTCTGTGCTTCCACAAGGAGCACAGTTCTGATCCCTGGTTGGGGAGTTAAGATCCCACATGTTGTGTGATGTGACCCAAAAAAATTAAAGGAAAAAAATAAAAGATTTTGTAATCCTCTAAAGAAACCAAACCAAAACAAAAAACCCAGGCAATTAGTTTTATCATAGCTTACTACGAATCTATTTGATCATTTATCCTAACTTTTACTTTTCAATCTGACATGGATTTTCTAAGATCACCAATAAAGACTAATCCTGTTCTATTTAGATTTCCTTCTTAGAGTCTTCCTCCCCCACCCCCCACTTTGAGATAATGAAATTCTATTATAAAAGGATATAAAAAGTTTCTTTTTCTTACCCTAACCTTAACATTACTGTTGGCAAAGACCATTAGTTCATGAAAACATTAAGCATGTGTGTTGCTGAGATCAAACAGGCCAACAAAAAGCTGAGATTCCCTTTCCTGGGATAAAAACCGAGTGATTGGGAGTCCAAAAATATTTAAAATACAAAACTGCTAACTTTGGAGGAGGGAATGAAGTCTTACATTTTCCTATACTCCTCTGTGCTTCCTTTTCTCTACTTAACTCCTAATATTTCCTACTTCCCTGCTGGCTCAGCTGGTAAAGAATCCGCCCGCAATGCCGGAGACCAGAGTCGGACACAACTGACCAACTTTCACTTCACTTTATACATTTATTAGCACCTCTGCTAATGCATTTGTGTACTTTTATAGGTATTGATGGAATAGGTTATTAAGTAGGACAGATAATGGATACATGAAATTTTATATATACATTGGCTTATTTCTATACATCTGGCTTAATGTATTCCTCAACTAACTTACGTTGAAGATCTGTTTGCTATCATACTCCTTAAAAGTATAGCTTACTCAGTTTAGGCTAACAGGATTGGCTTTAGGCTAAATAAAGTGAACTAAATAAATTCAAATATATCCTCCCTATATGATTAATTGAACTTAAGGAAGTTGGGCCACACTATTTTCATGAAAGTTATTGTTTAAGTTGATAGTGAAGTGAGAGTTAACAAAAGTCAGAAAAATAAGATGGGTTTTTAGGGCTAGGTCACAGTTGTTTTGGTTTAACTGCAATTATATACTGGGTCTGACCTAGACAATCTGAACTTGAATATAGACTGAAGAGTAAAGAAAACTGAAGGGGAAAAATTTTGACTTTTCTTGCCAGGGAGAGGGGAGGGAAGGATTAGCTGCTGCTAATAATCAGATTTCAAGTAGCTTTTACATCATCTAAAGCTGCTTTATATCTTAAGTATTCACAACCCTGAGTACTTTATATAGCGAGGAGGAGGCTGAAGCTTTGGATAGGAGGGGACTAGCTATTTTAGAAACTTTATGGGGATTTCACTCAGTAGATATAGATGGTAGTCTCCATTTCATAGATCTTTCTTTCTGGATGTTTTCATGTTAATACTTCGGCCATGTTACATGGCATGCTGGTTCCCCAACCAGGAACTGAACCTTCACCTCTTGTAGTGGACGTGTAGTCTTTTTTTTTTTTTGGACATGTGGTCTTTAACCACTGGACTTCCAGAGAAGTCCCTGGCTGTTTTTATCAGAAACTTTTGCTTTGAGATTAAAGACTTTTTTTTTTTTTTTTTAAACTATTGGCCAGTTTGCTAATGTAACACATCCAGAACGAAATGGGAGAAAGTTATCATTCAACAGAAAAGCTTTAGAAGACTTACCTTATTTGTATGCCACACCTTCTGTGTCCTCCTTTCTTGCTGTATTATACTGGCCATGACTCCAGAATGATGATTAACTGAAGTGATGACACCAGATAGTCCTTTCTCATGCCAAACTCAAGAGGGGAAGTTTTCACCATTTCACTATATGTCTGTTCTTGTTTTTAGGTTATCAGGTAAAGAAAGCTTCCTTCTCTTTCTAGCTGTGTACTGTCATGAATGGATGTTGAACTTTGTTATCAAATTATTTTTTCCTTTCAGTGATCATGTATTTGTTAAGATGGTAAATTACATTGATGCAAAACTTCTGGTTCTGACTAAACTGGTTAGCCAGTCTCATTACAATGACTGTTAAGAACCTACCCAAAAATTTGATACAGGGGATTTACTTGTTCAGGCATTTTAAGGCAGAATTGTGTGCAACTGTGTACTTACGTGTGAAAAATATATACATGTAATTTTATGCTTCCCTTGGTTAGGAAGATCCCCTGGAGAAGGGAATGGCAGCCCACTCCAGGATTCTTGCCTGGAGAATCCCCATGGACGGAGAGGAGCCTGGTGGCCTACAGTACATGGGGTCGCTAAGTCGGACACGACTGAGCAACTCATGTTGTAATTTTATGCAACTGTAACTTGGTCTTAATTCACTTAAAAATACTTCCATTGTAGGTATCACCATCTTCTCTGTTGGTGTGGCTTGGGCACCTCTGGATGACCTGAAAGATATGGCCTCTAAACCAAAGGAGTCGCATGCTTTCTTCACAAGAGAGTTCACAGGATTAGAACCAATTGTTTCTGATGTGATCAGAGGCATCTGTAGAGATTTCTTAGAATCCCAGCAATAATCGTGACATTTTGACAACTGAAAGAAAAAGTGCAAGGGGATATAATGTATAAGTTGTATTCTAGTAATACTGAGATACTACATAGCATACTAAAGTCAGAGAAAACTATTATATTAAAGATGGCAAAAATGTAAGCAAGTAAGCATTCATTTAAAGATACCTTCTAATTAAATTTTAGGCTTGATTGTTCAAAACGCTTCATAATCACGACCCTTAGAAACTCAGGAAAGAGACAGTGTAGATTATTAAGAGTTCTATTTTAACATGCATATTAAATGTATAAATATGCAAATTCTATATAGCTCAATAAAAGAACTTGATATTTAGACTGACTGCAACATTCCTTCTCTAATTATTACGTATATAAGGAAAATGAAAGACAAAAAGAAAAAAGCTCAACCTAGTTAAAATATTTTGACCCAAGTGTATGTCTTAAAGTCAATCAACAATATAGATGTTACTTAATACCCTAAAGTTGTAATTACAGATGAAATGGAAGCGATTTAGGTTATCAAGCGTCTTTTGTAGTGTATTTTCATAACTTATAGTAAATATCACACTGAACAAGATAGCAGCATTTGCCTAGTATTTTTCTATTTATATGCTTAATTTTATTGTGTATTGATGTATTTGGCTTGTACTCTAAAAGTCATCAATGTATTGAAAAAAACTTAGGTTGGTAAAGTTTTACTTACCACTTAGAAGCATTTAGCTTTAAAGAAAAGCACACCTTCCAAACAGCTGAACTGAGGAAAAACAGCTAGTGACTTAAGGTGCCTAACTTACTATTGTGTGTGTCTCTCCCTAGGGCATGGTAAAATTTAACACTAACTACTTCATGTGGAAAGACCAACTGAGTTTCTTCTTAAAATCATGCAATAAGACCTTATTTTTTTTTCAATTACTTATTGAATGCCATCTGTTCTAAGTATTATTCATAGCCAGTACCAGGTTAAACAGTAGGAAATACTTTTGAGTACTTGGTTCAACAAAGTTGTTTTGTAATTAACAGTATCTTTACTGTTGTGAAGTTGGTTCCTAAGAACAATGATGCAAACTCCCCTAATGTAACTATCAATATCCCACCAAGAACTCTCCCCAGATAGAAGTGCTGTCATATTCTATCCCATCTTCTCTAAAGACCGCGTTTTCTATTTCCTCTCACACATACACTAATCCTATCTGAAATGGTTTACAACCACCCAAACCAGTTAACCTGGAAAAGATGTTAACCGGTTGGAATATTATTCCAATAAATCTTTTGAATTTAACAATTTTAGTTTGTGTAAAACGAAGGAAAGGGCTATGTATCAGAGGCAGAAGTGAAATTGTCTTTGACACTACATAAAAATTTGACAAAAGGGAGAGTGCAAAGTCAATGACTCCCTGACCACCACCCCCTGCCCCTTATAAAGCCACAAATATGACCAATTCATGTAACAAGAACTTTCATTTAGCAACAGAAAAACAGGTTTAACATTTTTTTTCCACAATAGACAACTGTCAGCTGAGAAGACCAATCCTTAAAAAATTTAAACAAATATCCAGGCTCTAGTCATTAGCTCTTTTAAAAATTTTACCAGGAACAAAAGTTTTGAGGTAAACAGGGAAGCTTATATTTTGACTTGAAGAGCAACAAGAGAGCATAAATGAACACTTTAAGTTACTGTCAACTTTTTAGAAGTAAACATAGTCAAGATAAAGGGTTAACAACTAAAAGGATTTTTAAAATGATATAATTAAACTTTGCAGGTATGCCTAATATCAATTATGCCAGCCCATTTATAACCTTTAATGTATTAAATGAGACTTGGTATTCAGTGGATAACTTAGAAAATATGAAAAAAGTACATGAATAATATGAAAATATTAAATACTGAAAAAGTTAACATGTGAAAGTCTGTATATAAAAATAAACTTTACGTATAAATCACCACTTAATAGTCAAATGAATCTACATAATTTCCCGTAAGTCACAAATGAAAGCACACAAAATGAAAATAATATATTCTTTTTGCATCCCTTTAGTCTCTTCCAAATGTTTAATATTGTAGAGAAAATACAACCAAAGTAGATAAGAGAAAAACATATACTGATACTGTTTTTATGCATTTCAGTTTTAATACATTCCAAAAATGGTGAATGTTTATGCATTGCCATAATGATAATCACATTTCAGTTAAAACAGTAATCATTGCCTTGGAACAGCTGCCAGAAACAATACTAAGCTTTGGAAAGCTTGCTCTTCAATTATTTTAAAAACAAAGGGGTGTGGGGGAGAGGAAGACAAAAATGCACCCCTAAGTTGGATCTTCAACTGAGAAAACCAAAACCCCAGTATTTTAAGGAAAACTTCTGAAAAGTTTTAGTGTTTCACCAGCCATGACTAAAACTGCCACTTCAATTTTTATGGTAGGTGGCAAAATATCTCAAAGTTTGTATAATGTATTATTATTTTTTGCAGTAGGCATTCAAATAGAATAAGATGTCTACTATTAGGCATATTAAAATAGAATTTGCCAAATTTTTCTAATGTTTTCAAAGTTTTCTAATGTTACCTTCTAATTCCATTTCCAATTCCCTTCAAAAAAGGATATTACTTGTTGAAGGAAAAGTTTAAAGATACTAATACTTAACATCACTTATGAGGATGTTTTAATTAATGAATAATAGTTTATTCTCTGCTGAACTCTTCTGTGGGAAATACGTTTGACTAGATAAGAAAAACAACACTATTAAGTGAAATTCAGACAATAAAGTAGTAGGATATCTTAGGCATATGATATAAAACTGCATCTCTGCAACTTTGGGGGGGTTATATTTAATTATCTAAACTTCAATAGAAGATTTTTTCTTTAAATCCCCAAATGGGGTGAAAGACTTTTAAAAAACATTCTTAATAGTATTAACTGTTATAATCTTGTTGAAGATTATCAATAAACAGTACAAAATTTAAAAGAAGAGCATAAAAATGAAGGACTCACTGAGAAATCATCTCCATTACCTAGTTTAACGATGGAGAGTGAAGTATTGCACTTTATTATTTAACACAAAATAATGTAGCCAACAGTAACATACAGGTACACAATTTAATATTTATTATATGCATTTTATATACATTATTTTTCAACAGCGGTACGTTCGCTATGTGGTACAATCTTAAAAATTTGCTGATTCATAGTTTGTAAAACAAAAACCTTACAAAACTCATCAAAACTCGCAAACTGATCAGAAAAGTTTTTTGGAAGACTAGAAAAAATACTTTATTGTCTTAATCATGCATTACACAAACAAAATCTTTAGTTACACCATAAAATTAAGCACATCTGAAAAAATAAAACAGGGATAACTAGTCCAAACACAGCAGATTTCTGTATCCTGATTCAACTATTTTTGTATCCTATTTGTATTTCAAATTTTACTCCAAATACTTTAAAACAAGATAGTTTTGTCTGGAATCATGGTAAACCAAGATATGTATCTAGGGGGAGTCACCTTGGTTTGTAACTTAAACTATAAAATATTCCATTTTTAGTCTATTTTAGACTATCAAAGAGTTCCAAAATAGATATACAGGTTCCTTTAGCACATTAATAAAAGGATATAAAGACCAACAAAAAGTGAAATAAATAATAGGCTATTAGCAAGATGGATAATCCTTGATAAATAAACTTGTAAATACAGTAAGATGTACAAAATATCACATAGTGATAGGATGCCAAGATTAGTTTTTTTATTTTTTATTTTTTAAGAGTTCATTTGGAGTACTAAACCCCACCGTTTCATTTTAATACATTTAATAGTCCTTGGTTTAAGAAGACAGTTACGTGATGATGATGGTGATTTAGCATCTTTATGGAAAGACTTAGCTGAGCTGTATTATGCAAAAGAAGGAAAGAGTGTGGTTACACGGCAGCGGGTCAGTGAGATCTCTGTGTTTCAGGGCTGTATAATGCAGAAAAACTTCGATACAATCTTGAGCACTGTTGTGACAGGCTAAATATATAAAAAGACTTATAAAAACTAGAATTTTATCCAAACATTTTGTGCAACTAATGCTAAAATATCTTAAGTTAAATTTTCTTTTTTTATTTTTTTTTAAAGCAAAATAAGTTTAAAAGGGAATCTGTGGCATTCAACCGATAAACAGAAGATCACTAAGAGATGAAAAAAGCTACTCTTGGAGCTCACTTCCCCCCAACAAGAGCACCACATTCCTAACCCTAAGGCAGCACACAGAGTCCAAAACAAAAGTCTTTTTGTCAGATCAGACTCCACATTGGCTTAGAGATACCTAAAAGACAGACATACGCTCAGTTCATATCCAGTACAGGCCACAAATAATGGAGTCCTTTTTTTGTCCCACAAAATACAGTAATTACAATTAAATTAATGAGCCTGACGTTAAGATGTGATTTCCATCAATTTATGCCTGCCCAAATAGCCTTCACCAGGCAGATCATATGTAGTGTCATATCATTAACTTTTTTGATGGCAGTGATGCAGACCCTTTGTGTCCAAGCAAATCTGCTGTTATGATGAGAGTTTTTGTTGATTCACACAAATACTTTGGCAAGGGCATCAGCCCCTGCACTAGCAATATATGCTTTTGATGGATGGAAAGCAACATCATAAATTGATTCATCTAGTTTCTTCCTATGTGCTGTTATTTCCTGCACACATGTCTTGCTGTCCAAATTCCACAATCTAATAGAACAGTCATGGCCTGTAAAAGAATAAATAAAAAATGTTACTGAGTAATAATTCTATGATAAAATTTGTGGGCAGGACAGGAAGTTCAGACTTACTTCCAGACATCAAATAGATTCCATTAGGATCTACTGCTAGACTTGTAACAGCATCCAAATGAGCTACCATAGAATGGATCATTTTACCTAAATAAAACATAACAGAGAAGATTAAGTTTTCAAATAGTTACTAACTTGGGCAATCAGAAACCATAATACAACAGCAACATAAAACAATCTCAGCAACAATAAACAACATATAATTTACCATTTTAAACATTTGAGAGGGTACAATTCGGTGGCTTTTAGAACTTTCATCATGATGTACAATCATCACCATTATCTAGTTCAGAACATTTTCATCTCTGCAAAAGGAAACCCTGTACCCACTAAGCAGCCACTCCCTATTCCTCCCTTCCAAGTCCCCGCTAAGCACCAATCTCTTTTCTCTATGGACTGGCCTACTCTGAATGCTTCATACAAATGAAATCATACAATAACATGTGGCTTTTTAGGTCTGCCTTCTGTCATTTAGTTCCTCCACTACAATAATATTCTGAAGAGAATTTTAATTCTAATGCAGAACTTTTCCAATTGCTTCAAAAGACATCTGTGTAACACGAAACTGAGGGTATATGATAGTGGAAAACAATGACTATAGAAGTGCATTAAAAGCTTAAGGTCGGGGTACTCTTTTGCCCCCTTCTGATGGCTATGTCAGAAGCTTTCTCTATCTCCTTTATACTTTAATAAAACTTTATTACACACACACACAAAAAAAGCTTAAGGTCATATAAAGGGGAATTAAGAGTGAAAACGAAATCTTTCTCATTAAGAGATGCTTTATTAAGAGACTGTTTTATACACAGAGTTAATTTAAATCACCAGAGAATACGTTCCTATCTAAAGATTCTGATAGCATCATTTATCTTTTGAAATGTCAATCATCTTATATATAAGAAACAAGAAAGGGGAGAAGGGTGGGAGTACATCAGAGAAATTACTCTGGATTTCCCCAGATAGTAACAAAAGCATTATTCTAGAAAATGTAATTTAACTTCACTGAATTCTTGGCAAGCAAACAGATTCAATACTGAGTTGAAATTTAAAAACAAGCTGTGAGTATAAATTGTGTTGCATACTTTGGGACAAGCGCATCAGCCTCTGCACTGGCAATATACACTTCTGATGGTTCAAAGGCAATGTAAGTTGATTCACTCAAAAACAATAAGATGGCAAATACTGATATCTTAAAAAATTTCCTCCCTTTTGGAGAATGGATACATGTATACATATGGCTGAGTCCCTTTGCTGAAACTATCCCACCTAAAACTATCACAACACTGTTAACTGGCTATTCTCCAATATAAAATTACAAGTTAAAAAAATTTCCTCTCCTTTCATTCAGCAATGAGTCTTTTATTACTCAAATGCCTGGGCTTCTCCTAATGAGAGAGGGAGGTCTTTCTCCAGAATTCTATTTACAGTCATTTGATATGCTGCTTGTCCCCTGAAACGTTCCACACCGAGACATGAAACAGACCTACTTTTGTTATCTGCTATGGGGCTTCGGTCACTGACCTGAACACAAACCCACAAGATGATCAAATGTGCAAAAAGTTACTCTGAAGAACATAAAAAGCCTGCAACTTTCTGGCAATACTAAATGCTTATCAATTAAAGACAAAATTAGTCTCTCGTCATTTAGGCCACTTCTGTCTGTTTTTCATCAATATTAACAGAGTAACCACAACAGTTTCTCTCTACTATCCTGAGAAACAGAAAAATCATTCAACATACTATTGTGCTAAGTTGCTTCGGCTGTGTCCAACTCTTTGCAACCCTATGGACAGGAGCCCACCAGGCTCCTCTGTCCATGAGATTCTCCAGGCAAGAATACTGGAGTGGGTTGCCATTTCCTACTCCAGGGAATCTTCCTGACCCAGGTAGTGAACCCATGTCACTTTCGTCTCCTGCATTGTCAGGCGGGTTCTTTACCCCTAGCGCTACGTGGGAGACATCACAACATACTATTAGTCCAACATTATTCATCTACTGGTTCTAGAATGTTATTCTTCTCAATATTAAAAAAAAAAAAAAGAAAAAATTCAGAGAATGAAGAGCTGACCTCCAGCCCAATGATCTCAAAACATTAGGGGGATAGCTATGAAGTATCATTAGCTTCCCTTAAAACATTAATTCTGAGATGGCGACTCTTAACTCACAGATTGAGTTCTGACTTCTCTTGTGAGAATGACTGTACCTCTACTATATGTATCATGTCTTAAACCAAAGAATTCTTTCATCCCTAACTATGACATATTAATTTAGAGTCAACCCTCGTCTACATAGTCGTGAAGTCACCTCAAAATGTGAGTGACCCTTCAGATTGGACCAATTATAAGGAGGTGCAATTCTGAATCAAGTTGGATGCTGGGTTTCCACTAGTGACCACAGAAGTCAAAGTTTCTGGCCCTTCCTCCACCAGCATATACACGCAGCTTCTCACATTGAACCAAATCCACTTCTGCTCCACGGCGCTGCTACCATCTCTCTTCCCCCACCAAGACTCTTTCTTCCTCTAACTCAGGAAAAAGAGGACACATACAGGCTCTGATTCGCTCTTCCCCAGCACCTTAAGCCCTTTGACTTGTGCAGTCTATAAAATGAAGAAACAGACTGATACCAATGTCTCACTTACAGAAAGCAATATACCACTTGTCTGTATGATTGAAGAGGACAGGATACTTTGTTTTATTCACCAAAGATCAAGAAATGTGCTGAGGAGATGGCAGATACTCCTAAGTTTTGCTGAATGAATGAGGCCATAACCAATTCAGGACCCTCTTCCTCCAATTCCCCCCGCACTCCTCCCAGGTTCACCCACTAGCTAAAGTCTTGGTCTCTTGGTTACAGCATACGCAATTCAAATTTGTGTCTCTACCAAAATTTCAAAAACCACGAACCCTGAAGATCTCTCTGAAACAAATACTATAAATGGAAACTTCTAAATCCTCTGTAGTCAAGGATCTACCACACAGTGTGACTTGAGTATCTTTCTAAACCAATATTGCAGATCCCTGGTCAAATATTCAAGTGGTTTTCATAGTGCATAGTGTAAACAAAAATCTATTATTCTTAGCTTGGCTCTGAAAAATCTGGCTCAGTAGTTTCTGCCATCCTTCTCCAAACTTACTTACCTCTTTGGCTTTACCTCTAAGAAACTTCTTTTTCCAGCCCAAATTCCCACTTCTGTGCTTCTACTCAAAATATACCCTTATCTGGAATTTCCTACGAACTTCTTCACTTACAAACAAACAAAAACCTAATCATCCTTGCAAGGAAAAACTCAAACCTTAACTTCACGAAGACTCCTTTATCTTACTGCATTATGCATGAACATGTGTATGTATGAGTGCGTGTGTGTACACTCACACTATTTTCCCCAGGCAACAATAAGACCTCGGAAAGCAGAAATAACTTATACATGATAGTAGCCAGTGCAGTGCAAAACACTAAATGTCCTTTTATTGTTAAAATCTAAGTACTCACTGAGTCCATTCATACAATCAGTTTCTATAATGTTTCAGATAAGAAATCTAATAAATTACTAATCATTTGATAGAATACTACCCTATTAAAAATTTAGCTAACCATCAACACCAGTTATAGGGATATTTGAGTGTATCGTATTTAAATGAATTGCCAGTTTTCAAGACAAATTTCGCTAAAAAGAACACACAGGAACTCAATTTACAGTTTAACTCAAGTGTTGTATATATGTGTATCTCGGTGTACGAGAGGGAGAAAATGAGAGTGAAATTTTCCATTGTTTAGAGTCTAGCGCTTTAATTATCTTCACATTAAAGATAAGGTACTAGCTAGTTAACAAAGAGAATTAATTGGTAGAATTTGTAAACAATCTAGGTCTACAGGCACCTTATTTCTGATTTCTGCCAGACAAAAAGCTCTAAAGAATCACTTTTTCCTTTTATTATAACTACTAAAATTCCTGAAACTTTCCTTACAAATGTAAACTTTCAATAATTAATACAAAGAATCTTTTTAGAAACAGAGTAAAGGAAATTATCTCTCTGCTCTTGCAGCAAAGGAAGATCTTTAAGCTTCATAAAAATGTTTAAAGAATTGATCTGATACAGTCTTAAATTGAGACATTCACATGAATATGAATCTTCTTTCCCATGCAACATATAGACCTATGAGTCTCCATTCTCTTCTCAACTTGTTCTACTGAGTTCAAAGGAACCTGTCCAAGAAAAGTGTTATTTGAAGAAAGATATTTCTAAAACTCAGAAAGACTAAAATTTACAACCATGTCCTATATAAGATACAAAGAAAAATCTGTAGTACTGATTTGTTGTCTTGCTTGATAATTTGTTGCCCTGCAAGAATGTTTCAATGAACACTTTAGTTTCTTATTTGGAAGTCTTTCAATACTTCTTCTAATTGCTTTAGCTTATCAAAGAAGCCTCTCTTTGCTATCAGACTTTTCTGAAAGAGAGCAAACAATACTAAGTATTTGGGTAACAATTTGGGTAACGACAAATGACACAGACATCCTTAAACAAACAATTCTATGGCCAAATTAAAATTTAACTTGATTTCTATATAAACTGGTATGTTTCCTTACAAACAAAAAGTACAGGAAAGGTGAAAATAAACAACTGCCACTATATCATCATTTCATCCACTGATAATTTTAAGAACATATTTAGAAGAACCCCAGGGTTAGTAGAAGGAAAGAAATCTTAAAAATCAGGGCAGAAATAAATGCAAAAGAAACTAAAGAGATCATAGTAAAAATTAACAAAGCTAAAAGCTGGTTTTTTGAAAAAATAAACAAAATTGACAAACCATTAGCAAGACTCATTAAGAAACAAAGGGAGAAGAACCAAATTAACAAAATTAGAAACGAAAATGGAGAGATCACAACAGACAACACTGAAATACAAAGGATCATAAGAGACTACTACCAGCAGCTCTATGCCAATAAAATGGACAACTTGGAAGAAATGGACAAGTTCTTAGAGAAGTATAACTTTCCAAAACTGAACCAGGAAGAAATAGAAGATCTTAACAAACCCATCACAAGCAAGGAAATCGAAACTGTAATCAGAAACCTTCCAGCAAACAAAAGCCCAGGACCAGATGGCTTCACAGCTGAATTCTACCAAAAATTTAGAGAAGAGCTAACACCTATCTTACTCAAACTCTTCCAGAAAATTGCAGAAGAAGGTAAACTTCCAAACTCATTCTATGAGGCCACCATCACCCTAATTCCAAAACCAGACAAAGATGCCACAAAAAAAGAAAACTACAGGCCAATATCACTGATGAACATAGATGCAAAAATCCTTAACAAAATTCTAGCAAACAGAATCCAACAACATATTAAAAAAATCATACATCATGACCAAGTGGGCTTTATCCCAGGAATGCAAGGATTCTTTAATATCCGCAAATCAATCAATGTAATACACCACATTAACAAACTGAAAGATAAAAACCATATGATTATCTCAATAGATGCAGAAAAAGCCTTTGACAAAATTCAACATCCATTTATGATTAAAACTCTCCAGAAAGCAGGAATAGAAGGAACATACCTCAACATAATAAAAGCTATATATGACAAACCCACAGCAAGCATCACCCTCAATGGTGAAAAACTGAAAGCATTTCCCCTGAAATCAGGAACAAGACAAGGGTGCCCACTCTCACCACTACTATTCAACATAGTTTTGGAAGTTTTGGCCACAGCAATCAGAGCAGAAAAAGAAGTAAAAGGAATCCAGATAGGAAAAGAAGAAGTGAAACTCTCGCTGTTTGCAGATGACATGATCCTCTACATAGAAAATCCTAAAGACTCTACCAGAAAATTACTAGAGATAATCAACGAATACAGTAAAGTTGCAGGATATAAAATTAACACACAGAAATCTCTTGCATTCCTATACACTAACAATGAGAAAACAGAAAGAGAAATGAAGGAAACAATACCATTCACCACTGCAACAAAAAGAATAAAATACTTAGGAGTATATCTACCTAAAGAAACAAAAGACCTATACATAGAAAACTATAAAACACTGATGAAAGAAATCAAAGAGGACACAAACAGATGGAGAAATATACCGTGTTCATGGATTGGAAGAATCAATATTGTCAAAATGGCTATACTACCCAAAGCAATCTACAGATTCAATGCAATCCCTATCAAACTACCAACGATATTTTTCACAGAACTAGAACGAATAATTTCACAATTTGTATGGAAATACAAAAAACCTCGAATAGCCAAAGTAATCCTGAGAAAGAAGAATGGAACTGGAGGAATCAATCTGCCTGACTTCAGACTATACTACAAAGCCACAGTCATCAAGACAGTATGGTACTGGCACAAAGACAGAAATATAGATCAATGGAACAGAATAGAAAGCCCAGAGATAAATCCACGAACCTATGGTTACCTTATCTTTGACAAAGGAGGCAAGGATATACAATGGAAAAAAGACAACCTCTTTAACAAGTGGTGCTGGGAAAACTGGTCAACCACCTGTAAAAGAATGAAACTAGAACACTTTCTAACACCATACACAAAAATAAACTCAAGATGGATTAAAGATCTAAATGTAAGACCAGAAACTATAAAACTCCTAGAGGAGAACATAGGCAAAACATTCTCCGACATAAATCACAGCAGGATCCTCTATGACCCACATCCCAGAATTTTAGAAATAAAAGCAAAAATAAACAAATGGGACCTAATGAAACTTAAAAGCTTTTGCACAACAAAGGAAACTATAAGCAAGGTGAAAAGACAGCCCTCAGAATGGGAGAAAATAATAGCAAACAAAGCAACAGACAAAGGATTAATCTCAAAAATATACAAGCAACTCCTCCAGCTCAACTCCAGAAAAATAAATGACCCAATCAAAAAATGGGCCAAAGAACTGAACAGACATTTCTCCAAGGAAGACATACAGATGGCTAACAAACACATGAAAAGATGCTCAACATCACTCATTATCAGAGAAATGCAAATCAAAACCACAATGAGGTACCATTACACACCAGTCAGGATGGCTGCTATCCAAAAGTCTACAAGCAATAAATGCTGGAGAGGGTGTGGAGAAAAGGGAACCCTCTTACACTGTTGGTGGGAATGCAAATTAGTACAGCCACTATGGAAAACAGTGTGGAGATTTCTTAAAAAGCTGGAAATAGAACTGCCATATGACCCAGCAATCCCACTTCTGGGCATACACACCGAGGAAACCAGATCTGAAAGAGACACGTGTACCCCAATGTTCATCGCAGCACTGTTTATAATAGCCAGGACATGGAAGCAACCTAGATGCCCATCAGCAGATGAATGGATGAGGAAGCTGTGGTACATATACACCATGGAATATTACTCAGCCATTAAAAAGAATTCATTTGAATCAGTTCTAATGAGATGGATGAAACTGGAGCCCATTATACAGAGCGAAGTAAGCCAGAAAGATAAAGACCATTACAGTATACTAACACATATATATGGAATTTAGAAAGATGGTAACGATAACCCTATATGAAAAACAGAAAAAGAGACTCCTATGTATAGAACAGACTTGTGGACTCTGGGAGAAGGCGAGGGTGGGATGTTTCAAGAGAACAGCATTGAAACACGTATATTATCTAGGGTGAAACAGTTCACCAGCCCAGGTTGGGTGCATGAGACAAGTGCTCGGGCCTGGTGCACTGGGAAGACCCAGAGGGATTGGGTGGAGAGGGAGGTGGGAGGGGGGACCGGGATGAGGAATACATGTAAAAAAAAAAAAAAAAAATGAACTATTTTCAACAATGGAAAAAAATAAATAAATAAACATATTGTTAAAAAAAAAAAAAAAAAAAAAAAACATATTTAAAATGCCCAAACCAGAAAGTGATCTTCTATGTTACACTAATTCACAACAGAACATAAAGATAAAAATTTCAAACAGAAGGGTTTATAACTGTCATCACATGAAGAAATCATAATAGGTAAGCAAGATGTTTTGGGCTTTCCTGGTGGCCCAGACAGTAAAGAATCTGCCTGCAATGTAGGAGACCGGGGTTTTGGGTCAGGAAGATCCTCTGGAGAAAGAAATGGCAACCCACTCCAGTATTCTTGCCTAGAGAGTTCCATGGACAGAGGAACCTGACAGGTACAGTCCATGGGGTTACAAACAGTCAGATATGACTGAGCAACTAACACTAACAAAGGTAAAAATTAACAAACATTATAAGTGTGCTGCATTAAGTAAAGCAAAAATCTGAGTTAAGACAGTTTAACATGGCAATTTTCGAGGTAGGAGGTCAGTACAGAAAATAAGATAACCTACTTACCCGTTTTATTGTCAAAAAATTTGATGTGTCTATCTTCATGAGCAGTTATTGTAACAGGAAGTGTGGGATGACTTACTACTCTGTTAATGTGATTACTGGATTGTAAACCTAAAAAACAGAGGAAAACACACCAAAATTCAAACCTTCAATGTAATGTGGAATCTAAAGAAAAAACATACAAATAAAATAAAACCAGATTCACAGACACATAGGTCTGATAGTTGCCAGACAGGAGGGGAGGGAGCAGCAGGGCAAGAGGTGAAGAGGATTAAGAGGTACAACCTCCAGTTACACAATAAATAAGCCAAGGTGATATAATATACAGCATAAGGAATATGGTTAATAATAATAATATTTCAATAAGAAACATTATGTAGTACACCTAGTTTAATATTGCCCATTAACTATTTTCAAATAAAAAAATAAAAACTTCAATTGGAAGTTAAATGATGGCCTTTGCAGTCTTCCCAAAACATAAGAATCACTAAAAACTAAAGCTTTTATATATTAAACAAAAAATATGAGAAATAAAACTAAGATTCTAAAGATACACATTTTCTAAAAAAATATATAAGCTAGTAAGTCTTATAATGTGGATGGATAGCACTATGCTCAAGTTTAGAAAAAAAAAACGAAGTATTTTAATGCAGACTGTCAATATAGGGTGGTTTAGAATTTTTAAATTATCCCAAATCCACAAATCATTGCTTTTAATAAAATAGTCCATAAAAGAATTAAGAGTCAATTAATGAAGGAAAAAAATCATAAGTGATAATTAGGTGTTTGCAAGAACAAACCCTATCTCCTACAATGACCAAAAATACTGAAGAACTGGAATTGATATTCTTAGGAATGAGACCCTTTCTTTACTACCAAGTTCTTAATTTTTATTCAGCTTAGTGATGAGGGAGAAAAGAGAGATCAAAACTAATGGGAAAATACTGTCAGCATTTATTAGACTAAGTAAATTGATCATTCTATACATATACAAGAACTCTTCACTGAACTGAAACACGTTGAAAAAAATAATCTGTGTAAGAGGAATAAACTAGGGTTGAAAAAAGACACTGCATATATATTTGTTTTTAGATTTGATCACAGCCCATTTAAATATTTTTATAATTATAAAGTGACTTTTAAAAGAGCAATCATGAAAAATCAGAAGTAAAAACAAATGAACTTAACTGTATAGCCAATCGGTATTATAAGCACACGTGACTTTTAAAAGCACAGTAATTAGACTGTCTGTATCTAGTAAAATATACCCTCTATTAGTAACGAAATTCTTTTTGGTGGTATTGCAATTATTATTCTGAGATGACTTTATCTGTACTGTTACATAAATTAAATAAGAAATTGTGATCATTTTGCAGAGAATCAAGAATTTTTAAATTTGTTAAAATAAGATAAAAACATAAAACCAATGAGATAAATCTGAATCAGAATTGGAAGCATCTGAATAAAATTTATCAGTCTTTTTTTTTCCAGTCTTTTTCTTGACTAAAAATGCACTCTTCAGATCTATCTACTGAAAAAGTCTAAACCAGTGGCCAACTCAAGAGCCATGAAAGCCATGAGGACTGACTCAAGAGCAGAGCACCTATCTTGTAGTCTCTAAATGTCACTGTCCACTAAAAGAAACCATGGCTCCTTAGAGAAATGGCCCATTTCAGATTTGGGGTGAAAAACGAACAAGATGAACCTAAAACATCTTGTCATACCAGAAAGAAAAGCATCGGCAACTAACAGGGTTATGTCATAAGGGGAGACTCAGGAGCCAACCTGAATAAGCTCCCACTGGCCAAAGATGAAATAATCTGAGTAGCAATAAAAATGATACCTGTTAACAGACTGAAACAGGTAAAATGCACTTATTCCAAGAAAGATTATAATGATAAGAAAAACACCCCCCGCCAAAGACTCACTTCACTGGTCACCTTTGGAGGATGCTAGGGAGTCACTTCATCATTTTAAAAACTGGTAAACAAAGGGGAGGAGTGGGAAGTAATCATTTATCTTGCCTTTCCTTTATAATTACTAACTCCAGGTAACCAAATTACTGATGAGGGTTGTCCCTTCTTATAGAAGCAATCTAGCTAAGAAGTGTAAAAGAAATGATAAAATTAGAAGAAAATTTTTGAACAGTTAATGAATTAATGGATCCAAGCAATGACTAGAAACTAAGAGAAAGACAGACCAAAGAACATTTACTTCTGATAAAAATTCACAAATTATTACAAAATAGTCTTGCCAAAAACATTTAAAAACTTTAAAATGAAGACAAATAAAATTTTGACCCTGAATTTGAACAAGCCTCTAGATCTACAAACAATTTACAGGAAATAAAATGAACAGGAGAGGAGCACATTAAATGACAGCACAAGTATGCAACTGGTAAAATTCAAACTATGGGAAACTAGACCCAATTTCTTCAGTTAAAAAAAAATGCAAGGGGAATACAGGAGACAGAGGGGGAATCTACAGATGAAGACAGACGTGAGAGACCTACCAACCAACCAACCAACCACAGTGCATGGGCCTTATTTGGAACCTTATTTGAATAAACTGTAAAATACATATACCACATTCTATACTTATAACCTTGGCCGTTTACACAGAACTACTGGAGCTGGAAGATGGGTTCATTATATATTTCTCTACTTCCATGTGTGTTTTCATCAAAAACCTAAAATTATTTCACTTGTTTTCTTTTACCCTTACATTTTTTGCTCTACTCACTTACCTGTCCCCACATGCTTATCCAAGTTTTTAAACATAATTTGAGAAAATAGCAGAAATAAATAAGTACACATTGAAAGTTATTCTTTTTTCATTCTAAATTCAAACAGTCAAAATATAAAAAGTAACAGGTTACCCTCTATTGTAAAACAATCCTTTTTAAGGTTTCAACCTTACCAGAAAACTTACCAGAATCCATCTGTGATGAAAGCATCACCAATGACTGTGATGTTTCTAAATCATAAATTACTGTACTACCAGTGTTGAAAGAGGTCACCATATGTGCTGGATCACAGCCTATAAAGTCAACTGATGTAGGTATTCCATGTTCTGAAAGGAGCCCAAAGAGATATAAGGTAAACACAATAATTCAGAAATCTCTGCTTTTCTAGTAAGAAAAAGGAATTTGAGTATTCTTGAAATAATGTTAATAATGAAAAAGCAATTGTGTTAGGATGGTGAGATATAATAGGTAATTTATTCTCATTTATTAGAAGTTTTTGTAACATTATAAGAAAAATACATCTACAGAGCCCTTAAAGAAAGACAAAAAGCTATTGCTCTCCTATGCATTTTCTTCTAAGAGACAAAAATCCTAGGTGAGTTTACTGGCCCATCTGCAATTTTTTTTTTTAAATGTGGATCATTTAATAACTCTTTTATTGAATTTGTTATAATATTGCTTCTGTTGTTTTTTATGTTTTTTTTTTTTTTTTTTTGCCACAAGCCATGTGGGATCTTAGGTCCCTGACTAGGGATCAAACCTGCACACCCGACATTGGAAGGCTAAGGTTTAACCAGGGACTGCCAGGGAAGTCCTGCCATTATATTTCTGACTGTCAAATGATAAAACAGCATCTGTACACCACTACCTAGGGAGACTGTTCACGTCTCTGACACTGGTTAGCTTCAAGCAGCAAATGCAAATAATATTTTTGGATCTGTGAAAATGAAGCTTTGGACTCTGGAATTCACTGATGCAGTACTATCCTTAAGTAGCTAAAGCATCAATTTCTCTCTTTAACATGTTAATAGATTCCACTGTCCAGATCAATGCACAATTATGTGAATTCTGGAGTAAGCAAGAAACAAATTATCTAAATTTTCACCTCAAAAGCTTTAAGTAAATTAAAAAACTAGTAATCACTGAAGTATCCAGAGATTCAACAAAATTAAGCATAAATATTCAAACGTTCATCTAAAATGTTTTAAAACAAAACATTTATTTATAGTAAAAGGTATGATTTTTAAAAATAACTTGGAAAATAATGCCAATATACAGATAATATAAACAGGTGCACATAAATATTGTCATGAGGTATATTAAATCCTACTTTGACAGGAAAAGATTTGAAATCAAGCATGTAACTCAGTTTGCACCTCCCAGTTAAGGGTGCTATTTCAATGATTATAGCTAGACTTCTCAACCAGTGTGCTCATATGTGGTTTACAGGTTTACCTGGGACCCTGAGCCTTTCCATCTTTGTCCTGGAGCTGTTGGAGGGCCTTCTGCTGTTCCTATGAGTAGCCTCATTTGCCTACTCTATTATTAGACACAAATAGTTCTATTCTTTAAATAGGACAGTCCTGAAAAAGGTCAAAAAAGCACTGAGCTATAGGATATACTTGCAAAGCATCCCTGGTGGTCCAGTGTTAAGAATTCGCCTGCTAATGCAGGGATCATGGGTTCGATCCCTGATCTGGGAAGATCCCACATGTCTTGGGGTTAAAACCAAGCACCACAACTATTGAAGCCTATGTGCCCTAGAGGTTGTGCTCCGAAACAAGAGAAGCCACTACAATGAGAAGCCCTAGCATCGCAACTACAGTAGCCCCTGCTTGCTGCAACTTAAGAGAAAGCCCACACGCAGCAATGAAGACTCAGTGCAGCCAAAATTAAAGAAAAAATTTTTTTAAAAAGGCACTCCGCTACAGGATATCCCTGCAAAGCATCTTTCTTGTTTATAAAAATATGACTAGGAATAAAAAGATTATCACAGATTTATAAAATTCTTTCAGTATCTCTTTTGAGCAGTCAGAAGTAGTGAAACTACTTTGTTCATCTTCTAAATTAAAAAAAAAAAAAAGATATTTTTCAGAGAGGCAAAATTCACTCACCTTTGTCTCCATTGTAAGTGCAAATACATGGCAATTTTTCTTGTGGACTCCATAATCTAACAGTGCCATCTGCTGAACAAGACAGTAATTGATTTTTTATGCCACTATAAGCAAGACCCCAGACAGCATCTGTATGAGCAACTAAAGTGCCAGCTAGAACATTTGGCTCTGTAAGGAAAGAAACAGAACAAAAATTAGCCAGAAGAAGTTTAAAAGAACTGTTTTGTATATAAAGATAACTACATAATTAAGTACAAAGACTACACATAAAGGTCATAAGATAAACCAATGTGTACACAGTGGCCATCTCTAAGTTGTGGAGTTATGGGATATTTATATGCTACCTTCTAGTACTTTCTTGTATTTCTGTAATTTTCTAAAAAAGGAACATCCCCTTTTAAATAAACAGCTTTACTGAGGGAGATATAACTCCCACGCCATAAAACTCACCAGTTTAAAGTGTCAATTCAATGATTTTTAACATATTCACCAAGTTGCACAGTCATCACCATATCAATTTTAGGGCATCTTTATCACTTGTTAGCTATTTCCCCCCAACTGTCCTCTCTGCCTTTCTGCAGCCCTAGGCAACCACTACATATTTTGTTTCTATAAATTTGCCTACTCCAGACATTTTATACAAATGGCCTTTTCTGACTGCCTTCTTTGCCTCAAGGTTCACCTGTGTCGCAGCATGTGTCAGTGCTCCATTTCCTTTTACCACCAAATACTATTCCAGTGTATGGATACACTACATTTTATTTATCTATTCATCATTTGATGATGGGGGCTAATAACGTTGAACATCATTTGTCCTACAATTCTGTTTCTCTACTGAATTCCCACTTTCCACACGTATTTCTCACAGTTCATAACCTCCCTTTCACATGAGTAATTACCTCTCATAATAAATTCACTGTGGAAATACAGCACTGAAAGAGGAACCGTTCCTCTACCCTTCTGTCACCCAACCTATAAATCGACTAGTGTCTAAATCCATTTTCTCCATGTTTCCAGATATAAGTAAGCAATTACCCTCCATTCCTGAAAGGGCAATTCCACTGGGTATTCTGGATTCCATTTCCCACACTAATTTGCTTTCGTGTTTAGTTTTTCTACTATACAGATTACCCTCCTCCTTGGGAACATTACCACAGCAAGCAAACATGCTTCAAAATCTCTAAATCTAACAAACAAAACTTACATCAACCTCCAAACAAATAGCAGAGAAGCATAATCAGTAAATATGCTTTCTTACCTTCCATTTACTTTCTAAATCATTCTGATACTATCACCACAACAACCCTTGCTAAAATCATCAATGATGAGTTCTATCAAGTCTAATAAAATTTCCCTTTCTTCTTTCCTTCATCACTTTGCTTTTCATCCACATGTACCATATATACCTTGGAAGGTCATCCACAGGTCCCTTTACCTTTTGGTCTCAGCCCCAACATCTGTCCAGCCAAAACCTGGGTGATCAATCACCTTTCTATACTTAATATTACTAGACTCTCAGCAACATTTGCAAGTGCAGACTGCTTCTTTCCTCTCAGAATGGCTTCTTCTTTTCGCATGCCTCATGATTTCACGTTCCTGAACACCCTCCTGCCCCACAGGCACGCCTTCGTAGTTTTTTGGTTGGCTCTCTTGCTTCAGTCACCCCCCCATGTCAGAGTCCCTCAGGAGTCTGCCGTGTCACAGCGGTCAGGGTCTGCGTGATACCGCCTTCCTCTTTACATGCTTAAAAGCCGAACTCAACATCCTTTATCTTCTCACATTCCCATTTCAATAAGCTACCATCACAGACTCAGTTGATCATGTCAAAAATGTAGAAGTGGTGATAGAAAAATGTTCTGAATTAGTGGTAATGGTTGCGTAACCCTGTGAATATGGTAAAAACTACTGCACTTAATAAATAATTAACTACACTTCAAAAGGCTGAATCTTATCATACGGGAATTATACCTCAATAAAGCTGTTAAAAAAAAAAGATGACTAATCCATTATTTTATCCACTCAATCCAATTTATTAATAGATTCTGTTTATTCTACTCTATCTCCCCAGTATGTCTTAAATCCACTTCTCTCTAACTGTTCTATTTCCACTCTACTCTTGGCAACATCATCTTCTCACCTATCTACCAGATCACCACATTACAACTTTACAACATTACCTCGGTATTCCTTTCTCTATTCTCATTCCCAATCTACTCTACTTGCAAAAGTCAGAGTTATCTTTTTAAATCCTACTCTCCAGGTCACTCACTGGCTTAAAATGGTTCACTGACAGTTAGCTTTTATAAAGATTTTGGCTTGAATGTGATTATTTTAGACTATATGTAAAGACAACTTTAGCTGTTACTCTCTTACATTACAGTATCTTCATATCATTTATCACAATTTGTTCCTATCCATCCCCTTGCTTATGTGTTTTAATCTGTTTTTTTTTTTTTGTATTAGACTAATTCTCATTTCTTGATGTATGCTTTAATATCTGGCAAATTAAGGTGCTCAGTGTGTGTTAAATAAAAGACCAAAGAGTTCTTCTTTTAAAATGAACCATTAAGTAGACCATTTTTTAACCATTTTCATACTAATAAACATTCATTTAAATTTTTTATAGTTATAAACAATGCCCTTATAATTATATTTAAATATATGCACAGGTATTTCTGTTGGCCAGATTCTAAAAATCGCATTCATGAATGAAAGTTTCAGTTTTTAATTAAGAAATTTTTTGTCCCTCAAGTTCACTGATTTATACCCTTATGTCCTTATTTGTTTCTACATGCATGCTCAATCATGAAGTCATGTCTAACTCTTGCACCCCATGGACTGTAGCATGCCAGGCTCCTCTGTCCATGGAATTTTCCAGGCAAGAATACTAGAATGGGTTGCCATTTACTCTTCCAAGGGATCTTCCCAACCCAGGGATTGAACCTGAGTCTCTTGCAATGGCAGGTGGATGCCTTACCACTGCATCATCTGAGAATTCCCATTTGTTTCTGAAGTCTTGCACTAAATATTTTTGAACTTCATAAAGTAGCTAAGTTGTAAAAATTATTCCTTACATTAAGTTTCTCTTTTCTAGTACTGAAATTAATGTTTTAATTAATATAGTTTTTAAAAACATTTTGAACACAATATAGGAAATACCAACTTACAGGTTAAAATATTTATGGCATGATATTTCTTAATTTTTCTCTTTAATAAGGCAAATTACTAGTAAATGGAAAGACTAAATGACAAGTTTAATACATATTTAAATAATCTTTAAAATCTGAGGTGATTATTTCTGTCAGCACCATTCACTTAAAAAGATACATCTTGAGCCTTCTACTTACCATATGTGTCATATGGATCCACATTAGGACTGGGCATATTCCACCACTGTATAGTTGCGTCAGTACCACCACTAAAACACTGCTCTCCATTAGAACTAATAGCTAGTGACAGAACAGGACCACTATCACAGGAAAAGAGGGAAAAGATTACTGAGAAAGCCTATAAAGAAACTTACATTTGCACCCCTCCCAACCTCTAAATGTATGTGGTATCTAAAACTGTTTAAGTTAACATGTACATTTGAACAGTACTAATTATATTCTCATTAATACAATTATTAATCAAATGTAGTATTATTCAGCTAATGTCTTTCTTAATGTAAAACAAATATTATGAAAAAATTACAAGGCTTTAGGAGCAATAAATAATAGTTAACAATAATTATGGTTGTTAATTAAGTACTAATTCAATAAAACTTACATGTGGGCCCTAAATGTGTAGATAGGCTCTACATCTAAAGAGGCACTCCTAAAAGAGGAGAGAAAAAAGGGGAGGGGAGAAGATAAATAATGGTAAATCACTGGTTGATATACAAGAGTCGTTAGGAAAGATCAATTAAGTGCGTAAAAGCCACGGACCATAAAGAAGAAGAACTACTTATAATCAGCAAATCTGGAAGGAAAACACACAGGCCAACATTACGATACTTGCTTTTTGGCAGGAACAGTTTTTTGCAAGTTCCAAAGTTTCAGAGTGTGGTCCTCAGAGGCAGTGGCCAGCACAGGCTCTACAGGATGAAAGGCCAACGCCCGCACTCCGTCAAAATGGCTGCGCAGTGTGTACTTGGGGTTCCACGTCTTTCGAAAGGCATCTTTACTGGCAGGCAGCTAAAAAGAAAGAGCACGGTATTTAGTGGTAAAAGTGGTTAACTGGTAGGCATATGGAGTTTTTGTTTGTTTTGGTGTGTTTAAAATACACATTCAAAAGTGCTTTGCTAAAAATTAAAACGGCCAGTGGAAATTTAGCACACCTTAAAAACTTTATATCTTTATCATTTAATAAGAACTAAGAAGAATCATTTCATTAGCTTTCAAAGACTTAGATCAAATGAGTCCTTTAATCTGTTTTACCTAATCATCAAGGTAAACCCAAAGTCCTACTAAACATTAAAATGAAGGAAAAAACAAAACACACAAAGAAACTACCGTGTTGCAACATTTTACATGAAAACAAAAATGAAATAAATTACTACCAAAAATCCAAGGGTACAATATTAATACAGTTGTCATTTAGAAAATCAGCATGTGACATTTTTCAAGGCAGCAAGTTAAAGTACTTTTCAAAAGTCTGAACTAAAGACACTTTGTTGATACTGATAAGAGGTTAATCTTTTTACCTTCATTTCTCCATCTGTAAAGATAGGCTGTGAAACCACTTCTAAAGCAGTCAAAAGGTTATTATAGAATTTATTTGCTTACATACTTTAAAAGTATTAATGAGAATAATCCAGCCCACCAAGGCTGATGTCTCTAAAAAGCATTCTAACAAAAGTATAAAATGTAGAAAAAAAAAGTTTATAAAAGGAAAAATTAATTTGCTGAGAATCTGCAAATTCACTAATACAAAATCAAAGTAAGTATAGTTAACTCTCAATTGAGTGTTTATTGTCTATAAAAAATTTAATCCAAGACTAGTTTCACCTCTAACACTGTCTTTTTCCAACCCCTCTTTATCCTCTCCCCATTCCTCAAATGAAAGACTAAGTATTTAGGAAATGACTAACTTTAACATTATCCTTTTAAAAAAAAAGTTCAAAACTAAAATGTGTTTTAAGAATTATCCTGAAAGCAGATAAGTGATTCAGGTTACCTATTTTTCTCTTGTTAACAGCAAAGTATGGCTTAATTTGAGTAGGTAATTGAGAGTTGACTACTAAAGGTAGGTATTTATCAACCAATATTTTTAGGTAATCAATCACCCCAAACTCCTAATACACCATAATACCCAAGAAAAATTTAAATACCACAAAGAAAGTAGTTGTAAGAAAAAAACTATATATCACTTCAAATAAACACAATGTCACACTTTATCTTTTCCATGCACCTTGACATTAATTCTGTTTTATAAGTGTTTCCAAAAAATAAGGAGCCTTCTATTAAATCATTAAAAAATTAAAAATAAAACTGCACTTACATCATAACTATAGTCTGCATCATTTGTTACCGTCAAGTCTGCAAGGTCTCCAAGGCCCAGTACACTTAACAAAACATCATCAGAACCCATAATAAATGACTTGCCTCCTCCAGATGGAAACGTTATTGGTTCAGCTATAAAGAACAAAACCGCTTCTTAAATGCTGAAAAATCATACAGTACAAGACAATATTGTGGGGAAATGTAAGCACTTAACAGTTATAATATTCAGTAATATAATTAATTTTTATTTTCCCACTACCCTCCTTATTTCTTCTACTCAAAAATCCTATTACTGTGTAGTAATAAACAAGTGTTTTATTTATTTCAGAACTGAGCATAATTTCCCACAAATAAAATATGCACTTGATATATTATTTCAGGGTGGGCGCTTTGTCTATTTATATCCCTTTGATACAACTATAATTATAGTAATTTTTAAACATAATAGGTTGTTGCTAAGTCCTTTCGCTTTCCATCATATTTGTTTGAAAGTGCTAGATATTCTCATCCCTGATAAAAATTTAATACAAGTATTCACATGTTAATAGTTTCCAGTCTCTTATATGGTGTATTAGCTTACTGAAGTAAAGCCTTAAACTGCTCAGATTTCTCAATGGTCTAAGAAAAGGGCAGTTCTACCTTTACTGTCAGTTTCTTTTCCCTAAATGATTAATCCATGAGATCTTCAGAATGCCTTCCAGTTTTCAAACTCTGTCTATGCTTTTTAATTTTGACTTCTTTTTTACTGAATATACTCCTAAAATAAATAATCTATACTGACTATAGCACTTTAAACTTCTGATACTTTGACCCATTAAAATCAACTACTACTATGTATTGTTATTATAGTTACAGTATAAGCAACAATTCTCCTTATCATTTCAAACATGCTTTGAAAGCAAAATTTTAAACCTAAGATACAAGGGGGAAAGTACAAAAATCATTGTAATACAAAGCAACATATTGAAACACATTTAAAATCCATGAGCAACAAAAGGGAAACATAAACATTCACGCTAACTGCTAATTCTGAAAATTTTTTCATGAAAAATGATATAAATTTAGAACACTATAGGAAACAGATGTAATGAAATATCAGTCATCACTAACACTACTGAAAACATTCTAAGAAGATACAAGTCTGCTTCTTTTAGATATATACCATGGTAAAACTAAAATTTATTCTTATTTACAGTATCTTATTTTATTATTTATTAAAGTAATCTGTAATATCAAAGTAAACTACATAAGTTGATTCAAATAGGGTCCTGAATGACATTCGTAAAATGAAGCTATGTGTCAGCAACTGACACAGAGTAAATCTGATAGAAAATATATGCAGGGATAGTAGTATTTAATTTTATAATTTTAACCTACTGAATCTAAATAATCTGTAGCACGGATCCTTCCTACCAGTATCTAGTATGCAGTTATTGGTAATATGAGAAGACGCTGAGAATTATAAAACCAATAGCTTAAAATTATGTTTAAGAACAGTTATATAAAATTCATTAATTTAATATTTTCTCAAAGCATTTTTAGCCAGTACATGTTTTTCATTTATGCACGTATTGTAAAACAAGTTAGAATAAAATGCCAAAATTCCTCCCACTCACAAACACTCAATAAAAGAACTTTTCATAAAAGCCCAATAAAATAACTTTACCATAATAACTAATTATTCTGCATTATATATTCTTTATGCAGAGATATTTCTAGTTATTGACCAATTTAAGAGCATGTGAAGGGAAATGTCTAACCAATATTAGCTAGTTTTATTAGAGTTTTATATTAATTATATTAAGCAAAAGTATTATACCAATTTCTAATGAATCACCTAACTCCATCTATCTACATATACACATATATATTCATTTATATATAGCAAACTATCCTGCTCACTTGGCATACTGTGTATACATCTCAGTGAATAAAATCTTTTAAGCTCTATTTCTGCTTTCCACAATCACCCATTACTGTGGCATATAGTAAGCACAGTAAATACTCTGCCCTTGTTTTTCTTGCAGAAGGAATTTTTATTCTATAAATCCATGTTATTAATGTTAACATAATTACCTACAGGATATGATCACGTAGCATTGAAATATTAGCAATTCAAAGAGAAATAAAATTACGAAAATAAGTAGTTTTTAATGATGGAAACTATGATACCTTTTATTAGAGAGCCTAAAAGATTTCATCAAGCAATTTAAGGCTATTATCATATTAGCATTTCCCTTTATGGAAATCTTAGGGTCTACATAACGAGGTCTTACAACAAGGTCCTTTTTGTACTTCTTTAATTAATTATTCTTTTTATGGACAATAATGACAAAGGAAACCTGTAGCTAATATATCAAGCTCTTCCTATCTCCTTCAATTTTTATCAAATCTAAAGTACACAGCTCAGTAACTGATTCCATTCATGCCAGTGGCAACATGGTATATATACACCTTAAGTCTTTACCAAAAATAGTCTGAAAGGTTGTAACATGTAAGTTTCTCTCCCTGAGAACAAACTTTTTTCCTTTACAAAGTGAAGTATGACACAGCCTTTAATAGGAATGCATAATTGGAGATGGCCCCTGAAAATAAGATATTATGAACGCTAATGTTCCCCTCTTAGTTCTAAGTCAAAGCTGAACTTAATCTTTTGTAGTAACAAATTCTAACAGTATTTACCCTTTAAATAGTGTAATAAGGCTCATGCTTATCTTTTTCACCTCTTCATCCTTCCACTATTAACACAGAGTCAGATCACTTACATTTTTTCTTTAAAAAGCACAATTAGACATATACATACAAGTTCTACATTTTTGAGTAGTATGGGTCTTAACTGGTTTTTTTTTTCCCCTATAGGTAATTGGTTTGAAACATTTAAAAGGGTCCCTAATTTCTGCTAACATGGTATTGCCTTAAGGTGTAAAATCTACAGTTTAAATGTATAGTGTTACTACAAAAATTTTAGAAAAATATCCTATGCAGTATTTGGTAAAATACATCAGAAGCTAAAGAAGCTGAGCCATTACTAAATGCGTAAGATGAAGAATGGAGGTGATATGTGTATTTTAGAAAATACTCTCTAAGGTAAAACAGGAAAATAGTGTAACAGTGCTAAGAGATCTAGGGAAAATCAACAATTTTACTTGTCCTAATGTTTTTCATGATTTAATATGTTTTGGTTTTTATTATTTTACTGATTTTTCTTTACCCTTCCTCAAATATTCTTAGATTATGATGAGTGGTAAATAGATTCAGAGACAACTTTAAAGGAAAATGTAATATTATTTAGCTTTAAGCCATATGTGCTAGTAGAGAACTCAGAAGAGAATAAGATGTATTCAAAATTTTTTGACTGGGGCATGAAATTACCTTACAAAGCAAAGCAGAAATATCAATAAAATTCAATATATATGTCAAATTATTAGATAATGGATGATCCTTTATGTATGTATTATATGTCACAATAAACCTTAAAATTCATTCTCATAACTTAGAATTACAACTTTCTCAACCTAGATTTATAAAGTACTCAAGTATATCTATGTTATCTTCAGCTAAAATCAGTTATGGGAAAAAAAGCCTAAACAGTAGTTTCAATTTCTGCCCATTTCTAATTTAGGCAAAATTTAAAAAATTCATTACCATGTTGTACATGCCTGGTACCAGGTTAAAGAATAATGATGTCGCCTTAGTCTATAAAATGATTAAATTAGTCAATCATTATATACATTTTTAGAAATATATATACATAAAGTTTCAAGCACAATATTTGGCACTTAGCTGTCTCCTAATAAGTGATAGTTATTATGAGTTGCTAAATTTAACCAATATGATAAATAACTAAATAATTCTTTCCCATATGTACTATTTTAAGTCTTTTTAAAAATACTAATTTCCTAATGCTAGATCTGTAAACTAAAATCACAGTTCAGAAAGGTGCTTTGAAATCATACATAACAGAAACAATTCCACCTAACATCAAAAGCAAAAAAAATCATAAGGAAGCAAAAGTCAAAAATTTCAAAATTTCTAAGACAATTACACCAAGAACTTGCCCCAAACCTCTGAAGATCATATAAGCTGATCTTCAGCATTTTAAAACAGCAGCAAATTTATACTATTAAGGAGATGTGATTTGGAATTAATGTCATCTGCAATGTAAATAAACATGGTAGCTAAATTTTGTACCTTCCTCTGCTCTTGCACCTTCATGATCAGTCATTCTAGTAGAGGCTGACCTAGACTGATTTATGATTCCTGAAGGGATGAGGGGCAGCTCATCATCTCCCAGATCAGCTATCGTGTCGTAGAGTTTTGTCCTGTTGACCCCTGTAAATTAATGTCAGCAGTAGAGGTTCATTTAACAGCTACCGCTTGACTTGCTAGCACCCTTAAAAACCAACTTACTACCAAAACAGGTTATTTTTAAGAAGTTGCAGTTATTAAAGATCTCATCTAATCAAAGACGTCTTCAATTTTCCATATCAATTCCCCCAACAAAATATGGAAATAATTTTAATATTTAAGATATTTCCTATTTCTGAGGAGATACATATATATAAATAGGAGATACATACACGAAATTGAGTTTTTTATCACTTAATCCAAGTTCTGTAAGCTCAGACACAGAAGATACCATTAAAACAAAAAAATTTTGATGTTTAAGTTAACATTTAACAGTGTAAAGAATAAAACAGGTTTTCCAACTTAATCCATTATTTTAAAATGTTAACAAAGAAATAAGTAAAAATGATTTTTATGAGGGTGCAACAAACAATTAACTTTCCCTGTGTTTATGTGGATATTTTCCTGCTATAGTCACACAAATGTGTCATTAACAAATCAACTCCAATTTTCCGCAAATGTTTTTTCTCTTTTCCCAAATTTGAAAAACCTGATTTACCCATGAGCTCTCACTTTCTCGTCATAGTATGAAAAGTCAATCACAGGCCATAAGCTTAAGGAGAGAATTTCAACTGGTACATGGATAATTCTGGCCAAAATATGCAAAGCTCAGGACCATCTAATATCATGGGATCTCTTTAACTATGAACTTCAGAAATGACAGGAGAATCATTTCTCTTATGTATTTTGAAAGAAAATAGTTTTAAAAGAAAATGCTTTATAGTCAACATATAAGTAAAACAATTATAACAGGCAAATCCAAGCCCACACAATAAGACTATATTTACTAACGTTAATACTGGCGGACTAATTAAGACTATATAATCACTAAATTTTACTACAGCTATTAGAATATTAGCAATTCCAAAGGAACTATCATTCATCTATGTATCTCTAACAGAATGCCAGGTAATGGAAACAGGTGGAATCTTACACATTTATTACTTTTATTTTTTCTTTTCATTTATTAACTATTTCACAGCAATCCTTAACTTTTTAGAAATGCTTAAGTAACTCTTTCTGGATACAATGTGTCAAGTAGTTTGAATTTCCTAAAGTATATAATGGAGAAACTCAGTTATTATCTGAGGATTTTCTCCCTGACAAAGTGACTAAATAAATTCTCTAATAAATGAAAAACTGCCAACTGGATGTCTAACCATCAGTGAAAGTCAAGATGAAAGAAGATAAACATTATCCTTTCTCACAAAATAGGTCTCCTTTATATGAGTACCAGCACCACTGATTAAATTTCTGTTTTTAAAATCCTGCAACCACATCCTAAGAATTCCTTTTCACCTTATAAGTGGAGATGAAAGAGACTTTCAAAAAAAAAACAACCCTCCTTTTATGTGCTTTTCAGATCAATCTCTTTCTTGTTGACTTTATTCTACTCAATGCTTTCATTCTTACAAATTACTACAGAGGGTTCCTAATTGGTTTTCCTATCTCCCAATTCCATTTGCCTTCCATCACATTTGAATACTTTGGCTAGATTAGTTTTCCAAAATCATCACATTGATCTTATCACTCCTTACTCTGAAATCACAAGCAGCACTTCAACACTCTTTGAATCAAAGCTAACTAAAGTCCTGAACTGAACCCTGAATGTGCTTCATGCTGATCCTATCCAATCTCATCGTTTAGTGCTACGTAATACAGATCTCCCTAATTTTCAAGTCAGAGCAGTTTACCTACAGTATATTCATTCACCAGGGTTTCTTCTACCGTATTTTCATATCTGTCTTTACCTATTCCCCAGAAAGGTGAGAATACTTCCTGCACCCAATTCCATCTCCTCTGTGAGGCTTCTGTTGATCTTCCTCTGCTCACTCTATTATACTTATGTAAACCATAAACTTTTACTTCATTAGATACTACTCATAAATAATTTCATCATATAATAAATATAATAAAGACAAGAAAAAGTTTTATCATTACAGATACTATCAAGTCACATCTTCTTGAACACATGGACTAGGAAATATGTAAGAAAAGGAAAGTAGGAAACAACATTAATGTTCACGTTAGAGGAGACGTTGACCGAAACAGCCCACCCTAGCCAGGCACCACAGTAACCACTTGTACAGGAGGCCCCGGTAAGGAACATGGAACTAACAAGCCACCACCAACTGGAAGAACTTGGAAAAGGTCAAAAGGAGACACCAGTCCTTATGTCCTATCAACCTTCCATAATCTTCCTTGCTGGAATCCATCTTGGCTGAGGGATGCTCAGGCCATCAGGAATGACCGTGTGTCAGAATGACTGGCCAGAGACAACCTGGAAACTAATCCCACCACTAAAAAACCTGAGACTATCAGCCATGTGGCAGAGCAGTCCTCCTGGGTTCCCATACCTTCCTGTGCTCCAGCCAGGGGCCCCTTTCCAATAAAATCTCATGCTCTGTGAGCATGTGTCTCCTCTGTCAACTCATTCCTAAGTATTAGACAAGAATCCATTCCTGGGCCTGGGGAAGGGATCCCCCCCTTACTGCAACATTCCAACAAAGGTTCCCAAATCATATAATTATTATTACTTTTTTTGTTTTGTATACTATAACCAAACAGTTTCTGTGTGGCACAGTGGCAAGTTTAGGAAAAAGATGGAATTGTCCCTGCTTTAATTCTAGTTTCTCAAAAGTTGCTAAAAAATGAAAGCAGATTTCTTAACCAGAAGTTAACAGTCTTATCTAGCACCTGCCATGTAGAACATCTTTCAACTAACAACACATTTAATGCTCCTTTATTCTCTTTCTAAATCTAATATTCCAAATACAGTAATTCTAATGAACGCAATTTCATAATGAATGCAATTTCAAATAAAAGTTTTAAAGTCTGATTCACAATGAGAAAACTGTAATGGTATTAGTATAATAGATCATACGTAATATTATTAAAATATTCAATGGCATAACTGAAGAAAACTCACTAGGTATTAAACAAAAATTGATTCTCAATTACTGCTCTATTATCTATAGAGGAAATACTCTTCCTAATTTAAACAGCAAGAAAAGCTGTTCTTCTACCACCATGAATTATACAAGAACCCATCTACCTCATAACCACAGCCATCAAGTCTATACCAATGCACAGTCCTCTGAATAGATTCTAGGAAAATGAAAAACAGTATGCTGTGTAAAAGCCAAACTATGGATGGACTGACAACTGCTGTTGCTAGCGTTTTTAAATTCATGCTCACAATATACACACTCATGACATGAAATTTATCTTTCCATTACTCTATTATTATAAGTAAAACAGTATTTTTTTTTAAACTGAATCTAACACTTTAACTTCTCAAATACGCCTCCCTTTGTTAATCAATATTCTGAAGTGAAGCAGGAAAAGGTTTAAGTTTACTTTAGAATAAAAGGGTTTAGTTATATCATGTTTATTAGATTTATTATATGTTCTATCATCCTAATTGAAAGAAAGCTTTTACATGACAACTGTCATCTTAAAAAAAAAAGGCATCACGGTATTAAGGAAAAACTAGGTTAGCTGCAAAGTGATTCAGCAGCTTAAAAATGTGCACCCACTGAAAACAGCATCTAACCAATACTTTCTGCCCCTTGTCAAAATGCTACAATTATCTTCTTGGGGGAGGGAAAAAAAGAGAAACCGAGTTGAAGAACTGGATGGTCTGTTTTAACAGTGTGAAACTGAAGCCAGAAATAGAAAACTGCATCTCTTAGCTGAAAAAGCAATAATCCTTACTATGAAACAACTGTTTGTCTTTGATTTGGTGCAAGATACTGAATGGTTTTATGGACTCCTTATACTCTCTCCAAAACAGAGGCAGCTTAATCATACAGTCACTTTATAGCATGTGTCAAGGTACTTCTATAGGCCTACTCAAAGTTACTGATACAAAATAATTTCTCTTTAAATGCTCTAAAATGCCTAATATAAAAAGTCATACTCTACAATAATTTCATTCCCTCTTGAAAGTTTGTTATCCTGAATCTGGAATAGCAAATGACAAATACTAATATGAAACAAAAGAAGATTAAAAAAAAAGGAAAACTAGAAAATTTTCCAGGGATACTTATAATCTGTATTAAAAGAACTAATGAAAAAGCTTTCCAATGTATGATAAGTCAGGAGATGTATAGCTATTCAGTAACAAGAATAAAGTAAAGAAGGGGAATGACAAATCTTATTCTACACATGGAAGACAGGAAAGTTAAGATAAATAAGAACAATTAAGACAAATTCACTGACCAAGACTCACATCTGTAAACATACATATTTCAGAATGTGAACCTTTGAAATGGAGATCTTTCCCTATCTTTGAAATGGGAAAAGCATGTAAATCTTTTGAAGAAAGGATATGAAATAATCTAATCTTTTATAAGCCACAATTCTATAAGTACAAAATAGTACAGGAGTAACAAAAAGCAAGAATAAGAAAGAGCATTTATCAAAGGAAAACATATTATAGTCCATAATTTAAACTTGCCACGTTGAAAAAATGGAAATATTGAAGTCTTAAAAAGATTATTACCTCCTCCTTCATATTCTAAATAAAGGTTCCAAACTTCAGATGTTTTACCCTTATTTCAGTTGCTATACAGTATGATTTGTTATTGATTTACATGTTTTTACTTAGACATGAAATACAGCAAAAAAAAGAGAGAGACCACAGAAAGCTAGAAAAGTCCTATTAAAGATTTAAACAAAAGATTATCTCAGAACGATCCCCTCACTTTCTTCCCCAATTACAGAAACTTAGAACATATTTAAAGATGACAGAAAACAAAGTTTTAGATTCGATAATAGTATTGTATCAGTTAATTCCCTCATTTCCAACATAGTACTGTGGTCACATAAGAGAATGCATTTGTGGTAAAGTCACACACACTAACGTACCTAACGAGCAACATGTCTACTACTTATTCAGTTTTCTGAAGCGTTCAAAATAATAAATGTACATATTTAAAGAGACAAGAGGATGAAGCAAATGTAGTAAAATTTTAACATTTAAAGAAACTGTGTGAAAGTGCATGAAATTCGCCTAACTTTCCTTAAGTTTGAAGTTATGTCAAAAGAAAATGTTACAAGGAAAAGGAAGCTTAACTCTTCTGAGGCTTGAGACCAAAATAACTGTAACAAGTCTCTTTAGTTTCATGGTCTTCATTTTTAGAAATGCTAATTGAAAAAGCGTATATCACTTAGAAAGAAATTAACTCTGAATTGAGTTTACAGTCCAAGGCAAAGCCGTTCACTTTTAAGTCATTCCTTTTGCCTAAGGTAGGAAAATAGAAGGGTGAAACGGAGTGAACAAGCTGGAAGACAGATAAACACTACCTTCCTGGCTTCTGATTTCACAATTCTTTCCATTTAAGAGTCAAATCATGGTTGAGACCTTACAAAGTTAAAAAGTTTATAAATTTATAAACAGTTTATAAATCAGTCTAACTTATACAAGGCCACATCTGGGAAAACATGAGAAAACCCAATGAAAACAGATAATAAAAATGCTAAGTAAATTTCATGAATTCAATCTTTTCACAAAAAACTGTATCTTAGCATTAATATGGTAGTCTACCTGGATTAAGACCTAAATTTACTACCCACCAATTTAAAGAAAATTTATTTCCACGGCAGGGATTCAAAGCCAACATTTTTACAGTGAACTATATATTTAAGAGTAAAAACTTTTTAACTAATTCACAAAGGAAGTATAAAAAGAAACAATTATTTCCTAATTATTCATTCCTGAGACACTGTTGGAAACCTCATCTTTTCATGGGTAACCTTAAAAGCATTGGTGTTCATAAAAACACTAAAAATGAGAAACAATCTAATGGATTAACTAATGGAGGCTAGGTTAAATCCACAAAATGCAATACTATCTAACCAGTCAAACTGTATTTAGATTAGTCATCTAATCTAATGACAATTAAGAAAAAATGAGATAAAAACAATGATATTCTTGCTGGAAATTGTTAAAGGAGGTTTACGTATAAAGACATTTAGAAAAAGCTGGAAGAATATATGCCAAATATAATTTCTAAGTTATCGAACTCCAAGTGATTTTTACTTTTTTCTTTGTGTCTCTAATATAGTACTTACGTTAAGCATATATTACTTCTATGGCTATTTAAACAAAGTTAGCTTATTTTAAAAAATCAGACACAAAATAAAAATTAAAGGGGATTGGTTGAATAACATGGTACACATTTTGATAAGAAAACAGTACTGAGACATGAAAGCCTCAGGGCATGAATCCAAGGTCGCCAGCTCCTGAGTTAATCACAGTAGTTAGTTCCCTTTTGCCCATTTCTCATATCAGGTTCTGAAATATTCTGTTTGACAACAGGGTAGCTTTGTTTAAAGAAATTTGAAAACGTTGTATGGCAGAATATTTATTGACATGAAAGGATATTTTCTGTGAACTGTTAGCTGAGTAGGCAAATAACAAAACTGTATACTATGATCCTACTAAATAAAATTAAAATTGTATGGGAATTTAATTTATTTATTTATTTTTATATGGGAATTTTAGACTTTAGCTTCAGTTCATCAGTTTCCAACAGTTGTTAAGCAGATATTTTTTTCAATAAAAAACAATTTTAGAAAAATTTAAATCTAAAACAAAAAAAACCTTAAGTTGACTTATATCTTCTTTCTAAACCTCAAAAAGGGACGGGCATACCGTGGAGATGTTGAGGGTCAGTCACAATAAAATGGGTCACACAGATTTTTTTGGTTTCCCAGTGCATATAAAAGTTATGTGCTGGGACTTCCCTGGTGGTCTAAAGGCTGAAACTCTTCGCTCCCAATGCAGAGGGCCTGGGTTTGATCCCTGATCAGGGAACTAGATCCCACATGCTGGAACTAAAAATTCCACATGCTGCAAGGAAGAATGAAGATTGCACATGTAAGACCTGGTGCAGCCAAAAATAAATAAATACTTAAAAAAAAAAAGTTATGTGTACAGTATACTGTACTAAGTATGCAACAGCATTACGACTTTAAAAAACGTACGTCTTAATTAAAAATACTCATAAAAAAAAAAAAGCAGGGTTGTCAAAAACCTTCACTTTATGTAAAAAACAAAACAAAACCAAAAACCCTGGTGGTTCAGTAGTAAAGAATCCTCCTGCCAAGGCAGGAGACACAGACTCATTCCTAAGTCAGGAAGATCCCCCGGAGAAGGAAATGGCAACCCATTCCAGCATTCTTGCCTAGGAAATCCTGTGGACAGAGGAGCCTCATGGGCTATACAGTCCATGGGGTCACAAAAGAGTTGGACACGACTTAACAACTAAACAACAGCAACAGATAAAAGATCTAAACATTCTATCAGAAAAAAATGGGGTGTCTATATTTGAAATTAAAAGTAACACTACCTAACATTTTCTAAAGAAATCTTCAGCATATAAGTCAGTTTATGAATAACATACACAAAATAAGTAACCTAATATTTAAGTAAACTACCTCATTTCTTTTTTTTTAAAACCTCATTTCTTAAAAAAAAAAAAAATCTAAACCCTAAAATTCTAATGTCATTGCATCTATATTACAATGTTCAATCATGCAAAAGTACTTTTATACTCAACATGCATTAATTATATAGGGAAGAGATGTTAAAGCTGAAACACAGTCCCTGCCCAGCACTAAACATCTTTAAATACACTAAGCAATTCAATATACAGTAAGAAATTTCTTAGAGAACAGTTTGTACTCACATGCAACAACATAAATCAGCATAAAGTTATAAAGAAAAGTGCATAACAGGTAAAATTTCCCAAACTCCTTATTTTCCTCTACAATACATTAAACCACTCAAAAACTGCTTTACTGGAGGAAACTTATACCCTTTTCCACTGCAACTGCCATTTCATACACTAATTTCTTGTCACCAGAGAAAGGAACATGAAAGAATGTCTATATGGTTTTTGCCATTGTCATCTACTGTTTTCTCTTAGACACAATCAAAAAAGTTAGACTAGAGGAATCAATGGCCAGCCAGTTCAAAATAAAGTAAATTTCAGTTTCTTCATTTAATACTTTTAGGTCTAAAGATGATTTTCATGTGGCTGTTTTTATGCCTGATTTACAAAATGGAAATGAATTACTTCGTTGAGAGGTGCTGTAGCTAAATATATACTTTCAAAATACATTGGACAAGATATTAATTGTGAAAAATATAGCAAGGCACCCAAAGCTACTTAACTATTAACCAAACCAACCTTACTGCCACCACTACCTTACTCCCCTGACCTTACTCTACCAGAGTAGCCAAGAAAATACTACCTAGGAGAGCTTTTTTTCTTTTGCTACTGTTACTGTTTGTGGTTGGCTTAAGAGTAGAAAGTACAAACTGTGGGAAGGGCTTTCCCATTCACTGTATTTCAGAATTCTAAGAAACTAAGAAATGTAATCTGGATAAGACCTAGTTACAGCAGTAATTATCAAAAATAGAGAAATTTATACTTTCTTCCTTTTGAACAAATTTCTATTATTTTTTATCCAAAGGCCAATATTCCTTAGAGTTCTGCAAACTTTTTAAAGTTTAAAATATAGTCAAAAAGCTTAAAATCTTTCCTTCATCCTTACCCACATATTGAAAATAATATCCCACTTGATTTTCCCATACCTCCTAAATTATATTCAAATAAATTTCAAATATACAACAGACAAAGTTTAAAGTTAGTTGCCCCTTGTATGAAACATAAAGAAGTTAAAGACAAAAAAATCAGAATTGAGGATATTTTTTTTTCTCAAAGATTGGAACACAAAAATTATAATAGAATCTGCACTTACTCTTCACCCCTTTCTTCCCCTTTCGTTCCTTCTTGTACTGTTCCTTCAGCTTACTTATTAGTCCCTGGTCTACATCCCAAACCTCAGTAGTTGGGGAGAGGTCATCTTTATCTACATGCAGCATATTATTAAAAGAAAAAAAATCAGCAGTTGGCAATGCAAGCTGTTGGCAATAAACTGTTATAGCTTTATATAATCATAATAAAAATGTACTGACAGTATATACTCAAAGTACTTTAAAGGTGCAGTCTCAGTTTTGGTATTCACAAGTCAAACTCTGAAAGCCCATCTCATAAGTTTATAAACATTAATACTACAAACAATAGTTAAATGGTGCTTCATTTCTATGAACTACAAATTTGAAGGTTATTATTCTTGTGGTAACTGATATTTTTACAATGGACTAACATTAGAAATCTAATGTTACAAAAAATAGATCACTGCATCTTTACAAAAATGTTAATAAAAAATTATTCAGCCAGCATCATAAAAGCAAATGAATGAATTACATGCGAACTACTCATAAAAGTGCAAGCTGTATAGGTCAGTGCTGTTTCATTGATGAGAATATTCATGCACCTTCTGTCACACTGATTCTGCATGCACAAGGTAACTGTACTAGTGGAGAGGCATTCTAGTCCAATATAATACATACATGGAATTCCAAAATACATCTCAGATAATCCATACAAAGCATTCAGAGAATCCCACCTCTGCCCCCACCCCATCCAAATAGTCCAACATCTCATTACCTTCTTCCATTGGTCTACAACTAAGATTAGCAAAAAAACAAAAAACAAAAAAAAAAACTCAAATTCCACTGAAGAACTTTTAAGAGTTGGCATTTTTAGGGTAAGATAAAAGCAGTGACAAGCATGGAGAAGTGAAAACATACATTGCTATACATCTGTTACAGATGGTACTTCAGCTATTTTAGCTGAATAAACAAATCCATATTTGTTTTAAGTAAATACTTGTGCCTATAAAAAAATTTACCCTATAGAATACTACAGGAAAACAGCATTAAAAAAAAGCAAAATAAAAAAATGTCTATTTGATTTTAGGGAATAAAGGCTTTTCCATCTTTTAAGTTTTAAACTATTACTTCTTAAGTTTAAAGTTGTTATTTGGAAGTTTAACATTCTGTTAAAGATCAATGAAGAGTTAGTTTACATAAAACTGTTACTAAATAAAAATTATACCAAAACACATAAGCTAAGTCAATCAAGAAGACTGATATAAAAGGGAGATTTTAGAGAAAATATACTTTCACAATTTTTGATAACTTATTATATTTCTGGCTTATAAGTCTTATAAATTCCATAGGCCTCAATGTACAGTGGACATAAAAAACATCCTTTTTCCTTATAGACAGTTATTTGTAGCAAATATAAAAGATCCTCAGATTTAAATGGTGCACAGGGTAATTCCTTGGCGGTTCAGTGGTTAGGACTTGGAGCTTTCACGCCCTGTAAAGTTTGATTCCTGGTCAGAATTAAGATTCTGCAAGCCTCTTAGGGAAAAAAAAAAAAGGGTACAGAGAAATTCAGTTTTCTGTACCTTGAGTTTTTCCTACTATAACAGCCCTCAGTTTCTACCTTGTGGTACTATGATCTTAGGGAGTCAGTGTGCAAAAAGCGAAACTCAGAACTTTAACATGCTAACTTCAATTAGGTGAAACTAGGTTATCAAAGCCTGAAATTTACACGATTATCAAATCTGCAAACTGTAATACTGTCGCAATACTGATTTAAAGAGAAAATTCACTTTTCCTGTACTCTACTCATGAATTTCCTGAAAACAATGTTATATCAAGAACTGTTCTGTCAATTCATCTAATATGCTAAGAAAAATGTGATCTAAAGAATTAATTGCTTTGTGCTCATCTTAATAAAGCTAGTAATTCTTATTTTTAAAAGGGAAAAACTGACACATCTGGAACAAATTTTGTTAACCTCATAGAAACGACAAAAAACTTCAGTGGTATAAACTTTACACATGAAATTAAACAGGAGTTTTTCTAAAAGACATCTGTATAAAAAGTAAAGCTGTGAATGTTCTAACTGGAGTAGCAAAGGGTAGTGAAGTGAGAAAGCAGAAGGAATAAATAAGGATAAGCTTAAGAAAAAAAGAACTATTACTTGCAAGATAACCTTGAATCTAGAAAACAAAGGTAAACTTAAGGCAGTGCAGAGAATAGGTTGGTGAATGCATATGTGCACAAACATCCTGAAACTTGCCTGGTAAGTAACAGCTGATTTGATATTGCTTATAAGAAATAGTTAAAAGCAAAAAGGAAGAGGCAGCATAATCTTCTACATATTAATGCTGTTTTAAAAAAATTTAGGGGGAAAAAATATCAAGAAATGAGGCTGAATAAGTTACGGGAACTTTTTTTTTCAGTAAGAAAACACAAATATACACAAAAAAATTGATCCTTGACAACTCAAAACCACAAAAGCCTAAAATTCTATTGTGGTGATTCTAACTACCAAAGCAAAGGAATTAAATCTACTTAATGTACCATAAACTTGAAACCAATTTTATTCAAATATTTAGTACTTTATCCATTTAAACAGTCAGTATTTATAGTCCTATAAATTCTACAGACCACAGTTTCAAAGTGTAGCAGACAATAACTAAACATCTTTAAAATGTTTAGCAAAATTAGAAATGCTTACCAGTATTTCTGATTATGCCAAGAATTAAGAACTATTAAAATTAAACCGAGACTACCCTGACAGACGAAAAAGATTTAAAAGCTTTCTAAAAAGGAGTAGTTTCATAAAATAAAGGAATCCAAAATCAGAGATATTTGAGTACTATGCTAGTATCAAAATAAAAATAACACAAATTATCCGATGTGGGTGAATACAGGGATGTTTTACTATGACACACTATTAAGAAAGAAAAAAAAAAATCTGTTCTTTACCCAGTAACTTAAATCAGAAAATCACTTTCCCATTTGTAAGTAAACTCAAATTTTAAGTAAATAAATATAAAGGGATATTTGTATATTCAGTCTCTTTGCTTTGGGAAAAAAAACTGAGTATGACACATATTGAATAAAAATGAAAAATTCAAAAACGCTGCATAGATCCTTTATAAAAAACACTGCACAGATCCTGTGATAGTTTTCATTTCCTAGGGAAAGAAACCACTTGAATCATTTTGTTCTTAACAGAGTCCTTTCCTTCTTAAGAACTTAAAATGCTTTAAAGATACTTTAGACTTGTCTGGAAGGAAGAGATTGTTGGTTACTTCCATTACACAAAAAGATTCAGGTCACTCTCAATTATTAATAAGCAAAAGTAAATAAAAGTATCGAGAGTTGTCATTCACTAATTAGGTCCTCTCTTGAAATTTCTACAGTCAAAAATTTTTGGACAGAAGGACCAATCAACTGCACACTTTTTATGATAGAAGTAATGCCATTTTATACAAATTAAATTCCTGAAATTTTTATATATTCTTCTGATGGACAGTTAAACTTCCAGCAATTTTAGGTGAAGACAATAGGAAGGGAAATGTGCCAAGATTTAGCTATACAAATGTTTGAAAACTGCTTTCGATTTTTTTTTCTCCCTTTAGATATCTAAATGAGCATCAGTAATGCTCATATAAACAATCAAACATAATGACAATTATGCACTTATTAAAAATGATGTCATAGAAGAATAATTAAGTGGAAGTGTGGGTTATAAACCAACACACAGCAAAATCCTGTTAAATACAGACAGATAGATATAATTATTAATCATGGTTCTCTCTACACAGCAGTGTTATTGATGATTTTTAATTTTCTTCCATCTGTGGGTTCTAAACCTCCAAAAAAAACAAATGAATTATAAGATAATGAAATATTTATATAATTTAAATATATTTCTGTAATTATTTTAAAATCTAGAAAAAAATAAATAGTACTTTAGAAACTATTGGAAAAAAATAAGGTATTTCCAACATTGATAGGTTGTACAGGCAAGTAAGAAGAAAATTAGATATTTTTACTGTCCTCTTGAGCATGACTAATTCTTAAGAAGGGTAAACTTCTATAACTTAGCAATTTTCAAAAAGTACCAAAATGTATATTCAAAGTCTAGAAGACAATTGTGGAAATTGTTTTTTTTTTTTTAAATTTTCAATTAATAGGCCTCCTCTCCCTCCACTTAGGAAAAGTTAAGATCTGAAAAATCATGCTTGACAATCATAAACGATGAGAATGCTGATAACAAAATCCAAACCTTTTAAGTACTCAATTTGTATCAGGACAGTCAATAAACATTATCTCTCAGGTTCTATCTCTCCTGCTACTAGCAATATTCAGCTTAAATATATACATGAGGCATCTTTATAAACTGAAGTGTGTCTCCTTATCACTAAAGTAGTTTTTAAAAATCCAGTGATAATCCCTCTTGCTAGTTAACTAAGCAATTTTGGTATTCATGTGAAATATGCATTAAAATACTTAGTACCCTTTTCCAATCAAGCTGAGTTCTCCCTACCAGGTACACATTGGTATTAAATGTTGACTGAACTTTTTTTTTGATGTGTCTATTATTAACATGTTTTTAAAATTTATTTGTAATTGAGAATAATTGTTCAACCATGTTGTGGTTTCTGCCATACAATATGAAATCAGCCATAAGTACAGAATGAACATTTTTAATTGAAACATCATACTGGACCTCAGCTATTATCTTAAAATACTTTGTACACTTTTATTTTACTTTCTAATGGGCTTTTTAAACCCTGTATAAATAGAACTGTTTTAACCCTTTTAGTTATAGGTGGATGATTATTAGCAGTAGATCACTTCCAAAGGCTAGGCTCTTAACACGCCTGTACAGTGAATATTATATGTAATAAAGTTTAAGTGTCAATAAATCTTGCTCATTATAGAGCTATTATTCAGAATTAATAGCTCTATTGTGTGTACGCGAGCTCAGTCGTGTCTGACTATTTGCAACCCAACGGATTTGGGTTTCAAGAAGAAGACTCTTTTTGGTATGCCTGTATGGTATTATCTGATCAGGCATAGCATACAGGCATACAGAAAAGGGACACCTTCTTGAAACCCAAATCCATTACCAAATTAAATCATGGGAATGTTTAAAACTGTGTACATGCTTTAAAAAAAAATCTGCTGAGAAGAAAGGAACTGGATTTCTAAATTAACTGAATGTTTCCATTTTAAATCAAGACAAATTTCAAAAGTCAAAATCCACCAAAAGCCATATATTAAACAGTTTAGCCACCCAATCTAAATAAACTGATGCAAATACTCTGAAACTACTGAATACCACTTTTCTCCTTGCTCTCAGTTTAACTGCCAGCATACATTCAGATACACACATTCCACATACAATATTTAATAAAATACATCTTTAAGGCCTAGATGTTTTCCCACCCCCATATTTCTTTATCACCTTACCCCATTCTGTGCCATCCCCTGAACTTCGTGCTTCTCCAGCTCCTTCACCATCTTCAGCAGTTACTAAAAAATCAAATTCTTTCAGTGCTTCCTCAGTATCAGGGTCATCAGTTAGGTCAGCAGCTAAACCTTCATTACCTATCTGTAAAGGGAAGAAAAGCCAAGAATTACCTTTATGCTAAACTGTAAAGGTATCCTTTATGTTTTCACACAATTATCTTTACTTTTGCACTCCCATTTTTAGGTTATTTAGAAACAAAAATCTTAAGATTTTCCAGAAAGTTAAACAATCTCAAATTATATCCTAGATAAATGGTTGCCAACAGTGCTCCAAAGTGTGATGCAAGTAATGCGGCAGTAAGAATGGTTAAAATCTTGATCTTCAAGTATGATGATCCTCACAAAGAGCATCTCTAATTACAAAAGATTTACAGGTAACTCTATTAAAGACCTGTGCAGTCACTTATATTCCAGTATGTTGTGTTGAATTGACCTCATTCACGGAGAACTGCGCTTGTAGGCCATAACTCATAAGGATATGGCATAGTTAATAAGGACATTAATGCAAGTCAATAGCTGTGGTATTTATAGTAATGCTTCTCAGAACCACCACCAAAAAAAAAAAAAAAAACCTCTATTCATCCATGTTTCACATGAGTATGTGGCAGAAAGGCTGAAAACTGCTTTTACAGACTGGAAGCTTTTGAGGAACACTGGAATTTTCCCCACATAACTATAAAATCCCAAAGAACTACAACGGAATTCAAAACCACAGTTGAAATAATGTATACTACTATGATAATTCACACATGGATCGTCTAATCTATTTTTGCTCTTATAACCAATCTGTATCAACACTAAAATACATCAATGTGTTTCCCAGGTTATAAGCAAAAGAAGACTTTCATTAATCCTTAACAAAGAGTGAAGAGTGTTGACACAAACATTCACAATTCTTAGTTTATTCCCTCACCCAGGGTAGGAGTATCAACCCACATCAGTTATAACTTATCACTTGTTTACTGTACCTCAAGAGATACTCTACAGCAGTGATTCTTAATTGTGATCCTTTTTTTTTCCCCTTCAAAATAGTTCCAAAACACTGGACTAGTCCCATAAAAACAGACCCTTTTTTGCCAATTAGTTAATAATACAATAGATAATAATTTCTACTGTATGTAGGGTAATTCAATAAGAACTATATAAAAAACTTTCAAATGACATAATAAAAAAATCATCCATAACTTCCAATGTAATTTAAGACATCTTGAAATTTTCTATTCCATACACATGACTAAATACATTGTAGTTAATAAGAAAAGAGAATCCTTACTTTGTGTTTATTTATCCTATGTTTGTCTTTTCCTTCTGGGATGCCTTCAATCATGTCATTTTCCTCTTCTTCGTCACTGTCATCAGCATTTTCTAAGAAATTGAATGTCTCAAGAACATCACCAGAAGTCCTGTAAGAGAGGAAAAAGATGAATCAAAATATTCCAATGATAAATATTTCTTTCTGTCTCCTATTTTTAAACAGTACTTGAAGGTAGTAGACAGATTCAAATTAAAACTTACTTATAATGTATTATCTAAATATTCTACCCAAAAATGAAAGATCATTTATGTTCTACAGTTAAAAGATGTTAAGTTTCTATAACAATAATACTTTAAGTAATTACAGCATCAAAGTAAAAACCTTATAGTTACTAAGCACTCAAATGTAGTATTATTTCTCAAAATAAAAGTTATTGTAATTAAGAAACTTGAATTTGAACTCAGCATTTCTTTTAGCTCTACAACCTTTTACAACGTGGCCCAAATGTTTAAGGACTAAAACTGAAGTTTAATTTATGAGGCTACTCAGATTTAAAGTAATGGTATATCAGATATAGAACATTCCAATCCTTTTCACAGATTTTTCTTAACTACAAAACAGGATTATTAATATACTAAAGAAATACTTTCAAGTGTTTCAGAACCACTCTTACAATAGGTTAACAGTCATAATCTATTTTAATCTATTTATTAAGAAAATTTAAAACTATAATCTGAATTCCTCATCTATGTACAAAAAACAGTTTTCAAATAGTTATTTAAATGTCTAAAAACAGAGGCTACAACAGAACAGTGAAAGCTTCAGCTGAACATAGTCTCTCACAATGAAAGTCTCAATTCTTCCACTGACGCTGCCTGGATTTGGCCATGTCATTTAAACACTATGGCTTCAATTTCTTTACCTGTGGGAATTAAACTAGATGATCTCAAATATCCTGACCAATATGAATAGTACATGGTAACAAAAAGAATAATAGTCTAAAAGTTAGGCTTTCCCCCCCCTCCCTGACTGGTTCTATTAGTCTAAATTAAGGATGTAATACAATTCAGACTAGTTTTTAATAGCACTTTGATATAGGACCTTAATAGGTCTACTCTACTGTGCCTAATCCAGTATATGGTTCAAGGACCTGTATAAAAACTGAATATAGAAAGATACTTTTTTTCCCAAATGCAAGTCAGTAAGAACAAACAAAAAACTACCATAGTAACAAAACACATACTTTTCAGATCAACATCAGTAATATGTCTCAATATTGGGGGATTAAATGAAAGGCAAAGAAAATAATTGACAAAATCAGCACATCAATGACAGAAAAATTTAAGAATCATAAATTTAAGACATGACAGTTTTTTTCTGAACTTTGATAAATTAAGTACTGTCATTTCTTAGATGAATTCCTGTCTCTAAAATGAGAACTCATGTTTTAGGTTTTTTAAATTGTATTTGATCACAGCAATACATGCACAAGACTTTAAAAAGTCAAAGAGAGCACAATCAATAAAAGAAATAACTGATGAATTGTTCCAAAATTAAAAACCCTTGCTCTTTGAAAGACACTAAGATAATTTAAAGAAAAGTTTACAGATTGGGAAAATGTACTTCCAAATCACACATTTAATGAAGGACTATATACAGAACACTTAAATCTTAATAGTATCAAAGAAACAATGAGCATGGGGATATTATTCAAAAAATTTCAGTAAAAAAAGACATGTGTATGGTATACACAGATGCTCAACATCATTAGTCTTTAGGAAAATGGAAATTAAAGCAACCAGGGAGTGTGAAGGGTCTGAGACTTTGCCCCACTTGCAAGCTAATGTGCGGTTACTCTTGAGATGTTTCTTTTCAGCATTCATGATGATGACCTTTGTACGGATTTTTTAAAATTAATTTTATAGTGTAACCAGTGAAAACCCTTTCGATGTGGAAACAAACATGCTTGGAAATACATTCTGTAAATATATTACATAAATTTTTAAAAATTACTACTTTAATAATCTTTTCAATACCATTTTACCCGTTCTCTCTTTCTGACACTCCTATTCAGATGTTAGCCCTTTGGGACCCATCTTTATATTTTCCTATCTTTTCACTCCTACTGTCTTTTTTTCCCCTTTGCTCTTTTCTGGGAGAGTCTTTTAACCTTATCATCCAAGATCTACATAAAAATTATTTAAATCACACTTTAAGATTTCTATTAGCTCTTTTTTGACTTCTCATCAAACCTTATAAAATAGCTTATAAAACATCTTATTGTTTTATGGATGTATTATTTTTCCCAGTGCTTACAGAAGAGTAAAGTTTTGAAAGTCTTCTCTGAGCTCCTTTTTTGATTTGGTTCCTTCGGTCTCCAATTTTCACATCAAAGTCTCTCCTTAACTGTTAGCATTTAACAGTGAAGCAAAGAAAGCTAACTGGATATACTGTGTACATGGGTGAGGCTTGTCAAGTAGCTAGCTTCATGTCTGTGTAAAAGGGCAGAAACCAAAACATTTCATTGGCAGATCTCAACTGTCAGTATCAGAAAGTCTTCTCTACCATTAATAGATCATATTTCTGCCTGGAAGGGATTTAAGATCAGCTGCCAACATACCAGAAGCCAAGCAGAAGAAAACAAGAGATCTCACTGCTCAGCTAGAAATTTTCAGATCAACCTCCTGTCTTCAACGTCATAGCTCACCCTACAGGTGCCTGACTCCTTAAGAAATCAGAAATCACTGGAATTTGTCAGAAATCAGAATTCACCGAAAACATACCAACATTCTTTGGGATAGGGGAGGGGTTTTCAAATGGCTACACAGGACAAAAGAGGGAGTTTGATGGGAATCTGCTGTATATCTCAGGAAACTCAAATAGGGGCTCTGTATCAACCTAGAGGGATGGGATGGGGTGGGAGATGGGAATGGGGTTCAAGAAGGAGGAAGTATATGTATACCTATGGCTGATGCATGCTGAGGTTTGACAGAAAACAAAATTCTGGAAAGCAATTATCCTTCAATTAAAATACAAATTAGTTTAAATATATATATGAAGAGGGAGTTTGAAATTCTTTCATAAATTTGAAACTTGCCTCTTACCTAAACTTGAAACTAATTCTCTATTAATAACTCCCTCTAAATCTGACTCCAGATGTACCTAATACTGCTAATTCCTTAGCTTTTATAACTTTACTTGTATTTTGGGATGTGAATTGGCTTGCTTCTTTTTTTTTCTTTCCAGATTCCAAAATTATTAAGTTCTCCCTATCTGATGAACAGTATATCCTCTCATTCTTCCTATGTACTCAATTTATTGCTGTTATGTGTTAATGTATCTTTAAAAAGTCTTTAACGAACATCTTAGGGGATCCATAAGGCACAAAAGTAAAACGTCTCTTTAATTCACCATGCTTAAGTGGACATCTACATATGGAATTTTATATCTTTTTTCTTTGCCAACTATCTGTTTACTATCCTTTTTCTTTCTAAAAAGATGATCAACACAATTTTTAAAATTATAAATCCAGATGAAGGGAACATAGAGTGAAGTCAACAGTAAGGCTGGTAAGTAAAAGGGTAAAAAGGAGTCAGTGCATTTTCTAGAAATGAAGGAATCCCAGAAGTATGGCAAAATTCTGTCAGAGTAAAAAGAGCGAGCAACTACTAGAGGCTGAAAGGTAAATCAGACCATACTATTTCTAACAATATAGCCTACAATTTATCATTTTTCTACTGTTGAACATGAAGACTGGTTCAAATTTTTACTGTTATATAAAGTAAGAATATGATAGATATCTATTTGTTGGTATCTCTATCAATATATTAGATCATATTTCTTAGAATTTTCAAAGGCCCTGATTCTAGCTGAACCATACACACCTACATTAATACAGACTTGACATATATTATGCTGGTACAAACATAATTGCAGTTTTTGCACTACTGAAACTTGCCATCTGATACTGGAATACATCCTTAAATGAATGTGGTTACGTTTTACATCATTTTAATGTGCATTTTTGCTAATGACTTATAAAATGCTGCTTTTTATTTATTTTAGACTATGGGAATAATGTTAAGACAAAAAAGCAAATTTGAGCAATTTTCTTATTCAAATAGGCCATAAAGCAGCGGAAGACAACTCACAACAACAACAATGCATTTGGCCCAGGAACTGATAACAAATGTACAGTGCAGCAGTGGTTCAAGAAGTTTTGCAAGGAGACAAGCGCCTTGAAGATGAGAGGAGTAGTGGCCAGCCATCAGAAGTTGACAATGACCAGCTGAGAGCATCAAAGCTGATCCTCTTGAACTACACAAGAACCTGCTAAAGAAATCAACGTCAACCATTCTATGGTCGTTCAGCACTTGAAGCAAACTAGAAAGGTAAAAAAAGCTTGATTAAATGGGTGCCTCATGAGCTTAAAGAAATAAAAAAAATCGTCCTTTTGAAGTGTTGTCTTCTCTTATTCTACTCAAAAACGAACCATTTCCTAATCGGATTGTGACATGTGACAAAAGTGGATTTTCTAGGACAACAGGCTCAACCAGCTCAAGCGGGTGGACTGAGAAGATGCTCTTGACCAAAGCCAAACACGCACAGAAAGGGCATGGTCACTGTCTGGCGGACTGCTACAGGTCTGATCCACTACAGCTTTCCAAATCCTGGCGAAATCATTACATCTGAGGAGTCTACTCAGCAAATTGATGCGATACACAGTAAACTTCAATGTCTGCAGCTGACAGTGGTCAACAGAAAGCACCCAATTCTTCTCCACAACATCTTACTGCACACTGCACAATCAATGTTTCAAAAGTTGAACAAATTGGGCTACGGAAGTTTTGCCCCATTTGCCACATTCACTTGACCTCTTAACTACCACTTCAAGCATCTTGACAACTTTTTGCAGGGAAAACCCTTCCAACATGTAGAAAATTGCCTTTCAATAGTTTGTTGAATCCCAAAACACAGATTTTTAAGCTATAGGAGTAACAACCTTATTTCTCGTTGACAAAAATGTGTTGAGTGTAATGGTTCCTATTTTGATTAATAAAGATATGTTTGAGCCTAGTTATAGTAATTTAAAATTCACAGTACAAAATTACAATTATTTCTGGACCAACCTAATACAAGTATACTCATTAAGAAGGAAATTGGCCTTGATTAAAAACAATTATTACCTAAAAGTCTGTAGACAGATAAATGGATAAGAAAAATGTGGTAAATACAGTCAACAAATTATTAGACATAAAAAACAAAATCCTTGGCAGAAATGAAACCAAGATTGCAAAACAATTATCCATCAATTACAGAAAATTTTGCAAATAAATAAATGATTTTTAAAAATAAATAAATAAATAAATAAAATCCTTACATCAGAACAAGAAAAAAAAAAAAACAAGAAAATCTTGTCATATGCTACAACACGAGTGAACCTTTAGGACATCATGCTAAGTGAAATAAGCCAGGCACAGAAAGATAGATACTGTGTGTTTCCACTTACATACTTAAAGTAGTCACTCACAGAAAAAGTCAAACGGTGGCTCCCAGGTACTAAGTGGGAGGAGGAAATACGGAGTCGCTACTCAATGAGTATGGAGTTTTAGTCATGCAAGATGAAAAGCTTCTAGAGAAGTGCTCTACAATACTGTGCTTACATAGTTAACAACACTGCACTGTGCACTTAAAAATTCTTAAGGTAGATCTCATGTTATGTGCTTTTTACCACAACAGAAGACAAGAAACAATTAATCTTGTAAAGGTGAGAAGCTTTACAAGGAGAAGACACAGTCTGCTATGGATCTTTAATTCTGATTCAGGTGTGATCTGGTAAACTGCATTCCCCTCAAGTATTTATAAATCCTATTAACTACTTAGCCTGGTTAACTGACAAATTTAGTTTTTAAAACACATAGTAATATCCTTGCTTTTTCTCATATGCTATGAAAACTCTGATTCCTGAAATCCAGAGTAAAGAAAATAAGGACTCTATTAGATGTCAAACTGTTTTTATTAGAAACCTTACTTCACAGAAATAAAATCCCAAAACTAAAGGTTTATGTTAACCTGAAAGTTACAATGTCACGATATATATCTAAGGTATGAAGTAATGCTAGTTTATAAACTGTACATATTATTTTCTTAAGCTCTACATGAACTCGTTTTATTTTTTCCATTCTCCTTTTCTTTGTCCTTCCAACCTATGAAATTCAAGGTAATACCTAACGGTAGAAAGAGAAAAAAGTTCCACTTGCTTGACTACTTGCATTTATCAAATCTGTACTATAATCAAAAGTATATTTGGTAGACATGTTGATGAGAATGCAGAGAAACCAGAATTCTTATACAATTCTGGTGGTAGTGTACAATAGTTCAGCCACTTTGGAAAAGAATTTGGAAATTCATCAAAAAGGTAAACACATAGTTATTGTATGACTTAGCAATTCAACTCCTAGGTATAAACCCAAGAAGCCTGAAAACATATGTCCACATTTCCAGACTGATGTTCAAAGCAGCGTTATTCATTATTCCAAAATGTGGAATCAACGGATAAGCCCATGAGTTGGACAAAGAATAGATAAACAAATGTGATATATCCACAGAAAAGAGTATTACTTAGCAACGAAAGAAATGAATTACTGACACATGCTATAACATGGATTTTAAAAACACTATGCTAATGCAAAGTGGCCACTCACAAAACAGCCATTTACATAAAATATCTAGAATAGGCAAATCTACAGAGACAAAGTAGGTTAACGGTTGCCTAGGACTGGTGAGTGAGAGGTACATAGGAAAGATGAGGAGTGGCAGCTAATGAGTACAAGGTTTCTGTATCGAGCAATGAAAATTTTCAAAACTTAGATTATGGTGATGGTTGAATAACTTTGTGAATACTCCAAAAACTGTTAAACTTATATCCTTTAATAGGTGAAATTTATGGCAAGTGAACTGTATCTTAATAAAGACATTAAAATTTTAAACTATATCTGGCAGCTTTCTGAGTCCAAACACAATGCAAAGCCTTGTTTCTTTCCCAACAGTGACTGAACAATCATTACACATAGTATTAAAATTTATTCAAAACACTCTAACAAAAATCTAAAAATCAAGGTGTTCAAATAACTCTAAACTACATGAAATCCCTCTCAAGTTTTTTTTCCCCCCCATTTATTTTGATTAGTTGGAAGCTACCCTCTCAAGTTTTAATTTTGCACCTATTTCAGAGATACTTCAGTCATTCTCTTGGCATCAAAACTTCAAGATACATAAATTTAAAAAGTGCCTAAATAAAAGTTTATCATCCATTATGCCATTTAGGAAAAACATTTTAAACCTGAACTTTACATACTTCTTTTTTACAGAATTTTTTTTTTCCACATGTTTCTTTTAAAGGCATCTATTTATTTATTTGGCTGTGCCAGGTCTTAGTTGCAGCATGCAAACTCTTTGTTGTGGCATGTGGGATCTAGTTCCCTGACTAAGGATCAATCCCAAGGCTCCCTGCATTGGGATCGTGGAGATTTAGCTACTAGCCCACCAAAGATGAGCCTCTGCATGCTTTAAAAATTGTTAACAGTAGCAACAAAAAGCTAAAGAGATTCATAATACCTGTTATACAAATGTTAACCTATGCACTCAAGAACTAATGCTTTCGAATTGTGGTCCTAGAGAAGACTCTTGAGAGTCCCTTGGATAGCAAGGAGATCAAAACAGTCTTTCCTAAAGGAAATCAACCCTGACTATTCAATGGAAGAACTGACGCTAAAGCTCCAATACTTGGGCCACCTGATGCCAAGAGTCGACTCAATGGAAAACATTCTGATGCTGGGAAAGATTGAGGGCAGGAGAAGGGGGCAACAGAGGATGAGAATGTTGGATGGCATCAGTGACACAATGAACATGAGTCTGAGCAAGCTCCAGGAGACAGTGAAGGACAGGGAAGCCTGACGTAGTGCAATCCAAGGAGTTGCAAAAAGTTGGACACGACTCAGCGACTGAGCAACAACAAATAAGTATAGTTCGTACCTTTTGATTTCTTGTCCTTTTTGCTTAGGAGATTCACCTCCATTCAGGATCTGTTCTAAATTCTTTGTCTCTACTGATCCATTTGGTTCTGAATTGGACAGTCCAAGTAATGATCTTACCCGCTGAGACCGTACATCTAATATTGTATCTGTATAACCTACTTCCTGAAGGTATCTATAAGAGAAAATTAAAAATATTAAATCCCATAATTTGTTAATACCTGTGAACTTGTTAAATGAAAATCACATCAAAGGATTTTTAAAAATCCGTAACACTCCAAAATATACTCTTCCTTTCCTTAATACCTTTCTTCTCTATAGACTAGTTCCAGTTTTTTTTTTTTTTTTTTAAAGGGCTGATTACAAACCAAAATTTAATTGAGAAAGCATATAGATAGCTAATACTAATTAAGAGCCAATCATCCTGAAGCCTAAAAAGCCCTAGAGCTTTTAGGAGCCATCATATATATTACTCAAAAAAGAAAAAAAAATCCAGAAAGTTGTAAAAGATGAATAGAACTAAACCTGTGAACAATGACAGGCCACCTTGAAAGCCTGGCTCTTAGCGAGAGGTTAATGGGTAGCTCAGTTCTCCTTCTAAGATCTCACTGCAGTCCTACAGACCTGTGGTTTTCAAACTTTCCTTCCTGGCTAAACCAGGTTACCCAACAAGGACCTACTATGAGACCTAAAATACAGATAATGGGTAATGAATGAGCTTGTGTGACAAATTTTAAAATTTCTTACCAAAGTACTGATATTTGACAGGCTAAGGGAGGATGCTAAAAAGAAGCCTTATATATTACTGACAAAATAACAAAAGATTTCTAAGTGAAAGCTAAAGACAGGGAGACTGACTGGTTAGGACACTAACACAGCAAGAAGTTAAAACTGGAGAAGAGAAAAAAATGTGAGAAAAATAAGAGAAAACCCAAGTAACTTGCTACAAAAGCAAATATAGCAGTAAATTAAGATGAGAATTTTGGAAATTTTTCAGGTTTCTAGCTGAGATGACTGATTCTACTCAATAAAATGAATAATAAAGGGCCAGAATCTGGTTTTACAGGGTACCCATCAAATAATCATGTAGTATCTATCAAAGTGATAACATTTATTAGGTACAGTGATAAGAAAGGTCAAAAGCTCAGAAAAGAATGGACTGGATGTACAGATTTGGGAGTCATTAGTGTTTGGTGATCTTTGAAGCCATGAATTTAAATGAAGTTACCCAGAGAAAAAGCATAAATAAAAACAGAAAGCTTGGGGACAAAAACAACTAAAGTGCTGGAAAAGAAAAACACAAAGGAAAATTAAAGGAAAGAATATGAGAAATTAGGGTTAAAAAAGCCAGCAAAGACTGACTTCATGAAAGCAAGAAAAACTGAGTTTCAAAAAGAAATGAGGAGTTTATGTCAAGTATTTCCAAAGGATCAAATGAACAAAAGGGTCTCATTTTGTGATAGAAGCTTCAGGGAAATATGAAAATGTAAAACTAGCTGAGAAATGAACAAGGAAGACTATTCACATAAACTATTTTTAGAGAAAGGTAAAAAGAGACAGACTATAAAGACAGACAATGGGATTAGGCATTTATGAGAGAAATTCTGTGTACCTGTTTTCCCTAGAGCCATCAAACGCTTCTAAAAAATGTGATCCTCTTTTGGGGAAAAAAAAACACAAAACTCCACATTCTAACCATGTGGTCTTAGTAGGCCATCAAAATCTTAAACAAACCAGGTAAAAACTGACTGGGTAGTTATTCAATCAAGTGAAGACAAATTTAATCCTCAGAAAGTATTCTGAAAAAACAAGGGATCCTCTGTTATTTGGAGAGAAGTGGTTTTCAGGAGAAAAGAATAAAACTGGTACACAGAGGAGTAGAACACCAAAGAATTTCAGATCATATCCTGGATGCTCCACTCCTTGAGAAATCCTCAAGTGTGCTCCAGCTCTTGTGTTCCCGACTCTTAATCAATCAGCACTTCCCTTAACTCAGCTACCTACCCTAGCATCCTTCCAAGCAATAATCTGTTTTTATTAAAACTTGGATTTTAGTCACCAAGAGTTCAGATTGATAAAAATTTTTCTGAATAGAACATTAGAAACTGAGATTATAAACACGAGGTTTGAATACATTTACAAAAAGAAAAGCAAGAAGTGAAGAGTTCTCACCTGACAGCCTTCGTATTTTCAGTGAAGTAGAACCTAAGGTGCTCTAATGAGTAAGGAAGAATGGGCTGAGATGCAGTGCAAGTTTAAGAGGGCAAACTGAGGGCAACAGGAGCAAGAGATGACAAGGGATATGGAAAAAGGCTCTATGAAATGTTTGGACAGGAAACCATGCATGTGTAATGGCATTCACACAATTCTATGACTTTTCTCCAAGAATTAATTAGAAACAGAAGCAACAGATAGTATGACTGAACTAGGGCTGAGATCCTCCAGGTAGGTATAGTAAAATGACTGGTGGGACAAGGAGGGGTAACAAGTGGGCAGCAAGAAAGTTAAAGGTACTGGCAAAAGGGTAAAGGATCATGGGGTCTAAGCAGGAGCTAACGAAGTAACAAAAAGAAACAAAAAGCCCTACCACAAGAAAAAAACAAAATCACACCAACCACTAGTAGAGGAGATATGGAAAATGAAGCAGTCAAAATCAGATCAGAGGGCAAATAACAAGGCAACCAGATTAAGAGAAGTGGAATACGAACTGTCAGATATAATAAGACCAAGGGTCTGACCACACTTCACTGGGTTACTGAGCAAAGGTAAAGATATCTAGGTTTGAGAAGGGTGAATAATTACAAGTTACCTAAGATTTCAGGTGCATTCAAGTACCAAAGTTTTCAAAACACAAGGGAGAAGAACAAATAAATCTTTGTTTTATTTATTCTAATTGACAGTAAAAATATTTGCCACAGAAGTACTTCTAATAGAGCAAAGAATTAAAACATCAATAATGTTCCTCAAAAATTCAAGTAAATGTAGTAAGCAAGCCAGTGCTGAAAAGTTTCTGACAACCAGTTAAATTCCTTCTCTAAACCAGTCACAATCTCACTTAAAACCAAATATGTGAATTTTGCAGTGACAGGAATGAGTGTGTATGTAAGTATGAATCCCCTATTGTTTCTGACATTCTATTCCACAAATAAGAAAATAAGATCATTCTGAGAAATGTTTAAAGATGCAAACTTTAAAAAGATTCAAAATCTAACAAAACAAAAAAGAAACAATATGAGAGCTATACACATTGTTCCACTATCATTAAATAATTTTCACTTGCCAAGTAACTGAGTAAACACTTTCATACCTAAATCCTTAAAGCTGAAAATGAACCATTACTCACTGTCTTAACAGTTGTCTGCCTTGCTTCCACGTTAACTGGCTATTCTGAGGTGCTGTGGGAGCCTCTGTGTCTTTGGTTTCTTCTAAAAATTAACAACAACAAAACAAGACAAGTTTCACACATGTTACTTTAACTCCTGATAATGCTGCCAAAGTTATCATAAAGTCCCACAAAAACATACCAAAATATTTTATAGAAGATATAAGAAAGTTAACTTTTATTGAGTGTTTACCATGGGTTATTCGTTTTAACTGTTTATCCTGACAGCCCAAACACTTAAGCACCATTCTCCTTGTTTTAAAATTGGGAAAAGTAATATTACTATTACTGTAAGAAATTAAAAAAACAAAAGCCCAGGATTTGAAATATTATTAAAATCAATTACTACCAGAATTCTGCTGATTTGAACGCTTCTGAAATTTAAAATATTTACTATTTACATAAATCAACACTGTTAAGAAATTGGGGGGGGTGTGTGTGTGTATGAGTAAAATAAGTTTGTATCAGTAGATGCTAAGTCTATTTACAAGACTCAATAGAGTCAGTTTCATTTTTAGAACAAAAAGTTAAACCAGAAAACATTTTTACTGTATGTAAAAAGTCATATTTTATTCTCAGGTAACAGTGTATACATTAAAAAAAGAGTTTAATGAACAGTATAACTTCAGATGAGTTAACTTCTCAACAAGTATCTCCAGAGTGGTTCTTATACTTTATTGGCACTAATGATATAGAAATATTTTCCTGTAATTTCCCATTATAAAAATGAAAATAAAGCAAGAATATAGGGCCACAGACTACAAGCACTCATAGTGAATGTTAAAAACTCTTACCATGGCTTACTGTCATTAGTCTCCTAGATTCCTCAGAGTCATGTGAACAAACAGTTATTGGCAGGAATTCAAATATGCTTTGAAGGCATAACTTCTCTAGCCCTAACAATCCATTATTAGTATCCTCTCATTCTTCCCCTATATGCAGAAATATCTATAATTTCTAGAATTATCTCCTTCTTATAGCCCCCATTTTTATGACTTTTTCCTATTTATACCATTTTATTTTTAAATCACATATAACATAAAATCATTGGCCAAAAGAATACATTTTAAAAAAGAATGTAATTGACCCAAATCCCATCACTGAGAGTGTTAATATTTGAGATTTTCTTATTCCATATTTTCTATCTGAAGATAACATACGTGAGCTTCTCCACTCCTTAAATTAAAAAAAAAAAAAGCGTGACCTAAACCGCACTACAAGCTGCTTTTAACACTTAACAGATCTTAAACACTGTATCACAATAAATATAGATTAACATCACGTAATTATATAGTACTTTATAGAGAGTATATACCTATTTAACCAGTCCCTTATTGTTGAAATTTGGCTCGTTTTTACTGTTGCTAAAGGATATTCTTGAGTACACCCAAGCACATATAGTTCAATGAATTTTGGAACACGCACATGTAACCAGTAGAGATTAAGAAACAAAACACCATCAGCACCCCAGAAAACTGGGGTGCCCCCCAAAATGCCCTTTTCCAACTCACTAGATACTCCCTAGAAAGTATCAACACTATCCTGGTTTCTCAGCACAGGTTAACTTTTGACTTTGATCTATATGAAACCATTTATATCAATTCTCAAAATTTTATGTGACCCACTCATGTTGTCAAGTTTGCTGTTCATTTGCTAAGTCCTGTCCAACTCTTTGCAACTCCATCGACTACAGCATGCCAGGCTCCTCCATCCTCCACTATCTCCCAGAATTTGCTCAAATTCATGTCCACTGAGTCAGTGACGCTATCTAACCATCTCATTTTCTGCTGCCCCTTTCCCCTTTTGCCTTCAATCTTTCCCAGCTTCAGGGTCTTTTCAAATGAGTTGGCTCTTTTACAATGAGTCAGATTTTCACGTCAGGTGTCCAGAGTATTATAGCTTTAGCATTAGTTCTTCCAGTGAATATTTAGGGTTGATTTCCTTGAGGATTGACTGGTTTGATCTCCTTGCAACCCAAGGGAGACACTCAAGAGTCTTCTCCAGCACAAAAGCATCAATTCTTTAGTGCTCAGCCTTCTTTATGGTCCAACTCTCAAATCTGTACATGACTACTGGAAAAACCAGTCTTGACTACATTGTCTAAAGAGTCAAAGAAGAGAGGGGAAAAAACTGGCCTGAAATTCAACATTAAAAAACTAAGATGACGGCATCTGGTCCCTTCACTCCATGGCAAACAGAAGGGGAGAAGGGGGAAGCTGTCAGGTTTGTTGTTCAGTTGCTAAGCTGTGGCCGACTCTGCGACTCCAAGGACTGCAGGACCCCAGGCTTCCCTCTCCTTTACTATCTCCCGGAGTTTGCCCAAATTCATATCCACTGAGTCAGTGATACTATTTATCCATCAGTTTGATTATAATTTATTTACTTTTCTTGCTAAATAACATTTTATTACACTAAAATACCACAAAATCCTTATCTATCCTATCAATAGAAAACATATGAGTTGTTTCCAGTTTGCTATTATTAAGAGTAATAATACTATGAACATTCTTACACACAAATGTTCTTGTGATGAACATTTCAAGGAGTGGAATTAGTGTACCATAGGACATGCTTGTATTCTCTTTAGCAATACAGTTATCTTCCACCTTTCAAAAGCTTTTTTTTTTTTTGCTGTTATTCTTTTTTTTTTTTTCCATTTATTTTTATTAGTTGGAGGCTAATTACTTTACAACATTGCAGTGGTTTTTGTCATACATTGACATGAATCAGCCATGGATTTACATGTATTCTCCATCCCGGTCCCCCCTCCCACCTCCCTCTCCACCCAATCCCTCTGGGTCTTCCCAGTGCACCAGGCCCGAGCACTTGTCTCATGCACCCAACCTGGGCTGGTGATCTGTTTCACCCTAGATAATATACATGTTTCGATGCTGTTCTCTTGAAACATCCCACCCTCGCCTTCTCCCAGAGTCCACAAGTCTGTTCTATACATCTGAGTCTCTTTTTCTGTTTTGCATATAGGGTTATCGTTACCATCTTTCTAAATTCCATATATATGTGTTAGTATACTGTAATGGTCTTTATCTTTCTGGCTTACTTCACTCTGTATAATGGGCTCCAGTTTCATCCATCTCATTAGAACTGATTCAAATGAATTCTTTTTAATGGCTGAGTAATATTCCATGGTGTATATGTACCACAGCTTCCTCATCCATTCGTCTGCTGATGGGCATCTAGGTTGCTTCCATGTCCTGGCTATGATAAACAGTGCTGCGGTGAACATTGGGGTGCACGTGTCTCTTTCAGATCTGGTTTCCTTGGTGTGTATGCCCAGAAGTGGGATTGCTGGGTCATATGGCAGTTCTATTTCCAGCTTTTTAAGAAATCTCCACACTGTTTTCCATAGTGGCTGTACTAATTTGCATTCCCACCAACAGTGTAAGAGGGTTCCCTTTTCTCCACACCCTCTCCAGCATTTATTGCTTGTAGACTTTTGGATAGCAGCCATCCTGACTGGCGTGTAATGGTACCTCATTGTGGTTTTGATTTGCATTTCTCTGATAATGAGTGATGTTGAGCATCTTTTCATGTGTTTTTTTGCCATCTGTATGTCTTCCTTGGAGAAATGTCTGTTTAGTTCTTTGGCCCATTTTTTGATTGGGTCATTTATTTTTCTGGAGTTGAGCTGGAGGAGTTGCTTGTATATTTTTGAGATTAATCCTTTGTCTGTTGCTTCGTTTGCTATTATTTTCTCCCAATCTGAGGGCTGTCTTTTCACCTTGCTTATAGTTTCCTTTGTTGTGCACAAAAGCTTTCTTTATGTCACTTTTTTCCTTGTTTACAGATTTATTTCTGGTTGTGCTGGGTCTTCGTCACCGTACACGGACGGGCCTTCTCTAGTTGCAGCGAGTGGGAGCTACTCTTCATTGTGGTGCGTGGGCTTCCCTCGGTGCAGAACACAGGCTATGGGCGCGTGGGCTTCAGTAGTTGCAGGCTGGGGGCTCAGCAACGGTGGCGCACAGGCTCAGCAGCTCTGCAGCAGGTGGTCGTTTCCTGGACCAGGGATGGAACCCATGACCCCTGCGCACTGGCAGGCAGATTCTCAACCAACTAGACCACCAGCAAAGCTCTCACATCACTTTTTTGAAAGACCTGCATGTAATACCTGTTTTCACTAGCCTAACTGAAAAAAAAATTGAGACCTTTTTCACTTTTTACGAAAAAAGGTTAGAAAGGAAAACAGCCTCTTTAGCATTTGTTTTGCAGTGAGCTGATGAAAAATGGCAGCACGCACCACAAGCAGCAGGAGAGGCACCACCAAGCTCCATACTGAGCCCCACACCTGGGCTTTATCTTCATTTACTTTGTGCACCATTCGCAAGATGTGTCCAAAGGTAAATTACACCTTTGCCTTATGTCACCTTGGCTTATGAATGGGAATGTTCTATTTTTGGATAGTGGGGGAAATTTGTATTGACATCACTTTCAGAGCAGTTTTATCAATTTAGAATTCCAATACCAGTAGGTGCAAAATTCCTGGCTGATCCACACCCTCAGCAACACTGAAAAAAAAAAAAAGACATTTTTTCTCCTTTCACCATTGTGACAGGTAATGTATTGTGGTTTTAAGTTCCATTTCCTCAATAACTAATACATTTGAGCATCATTTCATATACTTACTGGCCATTTCTTTTATTAGTGACTTTTCAAGTCTTTTTGTCCCTATTTCTCCTGTTGTAGAATTTTCCCCAAAATGGAGGGAAATAGAGGAGTTCTTTACAGAACTGGATACATCTTCTTTTATAGGGTTAAGTTTAGGATATATGTATTGGTATTACTTGGACAAGTATATAAAAACACAAACATCTTCTGCTTCTTTTAAAACAGTATTTTGTACATCTTCCTTTAACATTTTGATTTAAGTATAAAAAAGGCAATACTGATTCAGTGTTTATCTCTATCTATACTCTGACATAGATAATTTTGTCCTGTTGTCGGCATGGTGTATTTCTGCCCATTCCTTTGTCTGTTTTCCACTAAACATCCTGAGTAGCTTTTCTACATTAGTAAAAATAATTTATTTTGTTATCATTGTGGCTCCTATAAATAAAATACTTGGATGTTATTTTACTCTTCAATTTAAGGAAGCTTTAATATTTAGGTTTACACTGGGAAGGTCCCCTGCAGAAGGGAAAGGCTATCTACTCTAGTATTCTGGCCTGGAGAATTCTATGGACTATATAGTCCATAGGGTTGCATGACTGAGCCTCTTTCACTTTATACAGATAAAAACAGATGTGTCTTTATCCTATTTCTGCTGTGGGCAGGAGAGATTATCTGCTAATGACTTAACTTTATACAAACTTGCACCAAAACCAGTTAGCCAACTGTGACTCTAGCTTTAGGAACAATGGGGCTGCAACTAGCCTCTTCACATTTACACAGACCAAGTAAGGAGAACAGTCCTCAAGTTACAGAAAGCAGGGGATTTCCTGGCAGTCCAGGGAATTGGCCAGGACTCAGTGCTTCCAATGCCAGGGCCCAGGATCAACACCTGGTTAGGGAAATAACCCTGCAAGCCACACAACACAGCACAGGCAAAACAAAAAGTGACTGCTTATTTTCTGAATACTCTAGCCATATTAGAAAGAAAATGAGTTAAAGGAAAGCTATGAAGGCATCAGGTTTCCTCTGGTGAACCACTGTACTCCCTCAAACTGTGGCAGGACTGCTATAGTAAAGAAAGTATTACTGAAAATATACAGGTTTCACATCTTATATCACTTACTGTTGCTTTTCCAAGGAAGACGTAATCTTGTCCCTGACTCAGCAGAGTGAGTCCTCATAACCACTTACAAGCTAGATCAAAGGAAACCCATGCCACTACTACCTTGCTCTCTTAATTTTATATATGACAACTAGGAAAATAAGTGTGTGTGTCTCTGTTAGTCACTCAGTTATGTCTGACTCTGTGACCCCATGAACTATAGCCCACCAGGCTCCTCTGTCCGTGGAATTCTCCAACAATACTGGACCAGGTTGCCATTCCCTTCTCCAGGGGATCTTCCCAACCCAGGGATCGAACCTGCACTCTAGGCAAGTTCTTTACTATCTGACCCATCAGGGAAGACAGGAAGGTACGGTGTGGTGCTAAAACTGGCAAGTGGAGAAGACCTAAAAATAAACAAACTGAAGACTGTACATATAGGGTGTTTCTGCCAAGTTTAAGTACTTAATATTAAAGTAAAAGCCAATTAGCTAAATTTTTACAAATCTATTATAACATTTAACTGTAAAAATAAAAATTCATACTTTTCTCATTTTCCCTATTAAATATGCTTTAACTTTATTAGGTATGAAGGCAACTATCACTTTCCTGGTGGCTCAGCGGTAAAGAACCCACCTACAATGCAGGGGACTTGCAGAATATGCAGGTCTGACCTCTGGGTTGGGAAGGCCCTCTGGAGTAGGAAATGGTAACCCTGGGAAACCCCATGGGCAGAGGAGCCTGGCTCCATCCACGGGGTCACAAAAGACGTGGCTATGAAGACGTGGCTATGACTGAGTGACTGAACAACAAGAGAGCAACTACAAAAAAAGAAAATCTGTATATTCAAATGAAGACATAGTTTTTCCTTATCTTAGTAACTAGCAGTCAAGAACAGTATAGAATTCAGTTTGCTTGCACTAGCAAAATGCATATATAAATGGGCTCTCTATATATATATATATCAGAAAAAGAAAATTATAGTAATATACCCGAATATTATAAAAATCAAAAGACTCGTTCCTTAGTAAACTTTTAGTCTACTCAAATTGCAATCATATGAAACCCTAAAATTAACAGTGAACTGTTAGCCTTTTCTTATATCCAGCTTTTCTCTTCCCTGCATAATTGTTCATCACATTCTACTCTTACACTCACTATTTTAGTAAAGAGCAAGGCTAACTGGAGAAAACGTTTTCCTCCCTCTATCTTTATCTGGCTGCCTCCATAGTCCCCAAATTCAAATTTCTAATTTCTTTAGGACTAGACTGAGTCAATCACAGCTTCTCTAGGAAAAAATAGTTAACTTTTTAATAATACAAAATTAAGTTTATGTAGGGGTTTCCTGGTGGCTCAGACAGGAAAGAATCTGCCTGCAATGCAGGAGATGAGAGTTCGACTCCTGGGTTGGGACGATCCCCTGGAGAAGAGACTGGCAATCCACTCCAGTATTCTTGCCTGGAAAATTCTATGACAGAGGAATGTGGTGGGCCACAGTCCATGGGGTCTCAGAGAGTCAGACACAACTGAGCAACTAACACACACAAGCTTAAGTAGAATCAAACAAAAATTGCCTATAGGTGGTACAGAGAGTTACTCATTCCCTTTCACTTCTAAATGTGACCAAATATACACCCAGTTTTACACAAGTTTCAAAACAAGAAAAATAAGACAAATAACTTCAGGATTGATGAGGAGGTAGATGAAACTAACTTTTATTAATTTATTATTTTCCCTCAAATTCTAGAAAACATTATAATAGTTATTTAAGTAAACAATGCTATCAAAGCAAAATGGAGGTAAAGAGAACATGTCTGTTACCAAAAGTGAGCTTAAACCAGTTTTTCTAGAACGGAGGGCAGAGATTAACAGAAGAATCAAGTTTACCTGATTCAAAGGTTGGCATTTTCAAGTCACCTTGGTTCAGTTCTGTGCCATATTTTAATTTGTGATATTTTGCCCTGAAAATTTAATAATAAATTGTTGAAAGAAAAAAAAGTTTTATTTTCCTTTCTATACAGTTTAATAACTACTGGTATATATTTCTTCAATGACAAATTAAAAAAATCATATGAATGTCAGTTTCTTTAAACTTTAGTTGCAAACAAGTTAGAGGAAAAAAATACACTGCATGTACAAGGGAAAAAAAAAAGATAAATTATCCAAATAAGATATATACCCAAGATAAATTTTTCCTAATTTGTTTAAAAAAAAGGGGGGGTGAAAAAAACCCCGAAACTTAGACTCTACAATAAAAAATATTACTTCAATTTAAAGATTTTAATCTTTTTTCTTTTGCCATATAACAATCGAATCAAAATATCATCCTTTATTTTGGGCAAATCTTTGTATCTTTCAGAGTTTTCAAATACGCTGTACAATAACATGTGAGAATAATATTGTTCTACTTTTATTTATGCAAGAAAATATGGGACACCTACCTTTCTTGTTTTAATGCATACTCTAACATCTTTATTCTTCTTACTAAATCCTTCTTCAAGTTTTCTTGACCTTTTCTTTCTCCTTGCAAAAATGCTATCCGAGCCTAAAAATATAAAAAGTTCATTTATTTTTACTTTTTAACTATACACAGGAAATTGAAAAAAAGAAAACAATAAACATACAATTCTGCACTTTTACTCATGATAGCAAGATTTAAAATTCATAGAAGTAGTTGATAAAACTTTGTTAGAAAATACTCACTTTAAAATAAAGATAACTATAAATTAGCTATTTACCTATAACCCTTATGGTCTCTCTACTAACAATTTTCACATAATTTTAAAAGGAAATTTTATGTGCAAAAATTACACTTAATTCCTAACAAACAAGTTACAAAGAACAGAAAGTTATCATATTCATGCTTTTCCTCAAATTATATATTAGTTGTTTTAAAAAGTCATATTACCGCAAAAGCATTTCCTTCATGAAACATTTAAAAATTGATAATCTTCCCCTTTCTGACCACCACACTTCAAAATGTTTCAACTCTTGAAACAATTATCCAAAGTATCACAAGTATTAGGTTGGTGAAAAAGTAATTGCGGCTTTGGACCCAGAATTTAAAATCATTATAACTATCAAACACATCTTCATTAACCAAAACAGGAACCATTACAATCAACACATTTTTGCAAATGATAGATATGTTTGTTTATTCCTGTACCATAAAAACCTGAGCTCAAGATTCAACAAACTCTTGGAAAGCATTTTTGCATCCAGCTGGTTGTAGAAGCATTTTTGCTGCAAAAAGTTGTCAAGATGCTTTAAGAAGTGGTACTTGGTTGGCAAGATATCAGCTGAATGAGCCAAAACTTCACAGCCCAGTACATTCAACTTTTGAATTGTGGGTTGTGTGACATGTGGTCAGGCATTGTTGTGGAGAAGAACTGGGTCCTTTCTGTTGACCAATGCTGGCTGTAGGTGATGCAGATTTGCAGGTATCTCATCAATTTGCTGCGCATATTTCTCCAATGTAATGGTTTCACTGGGATTCAGAAAGCTGTTGTGGACCAGACGGTCAGCAGACCACCAAACAGTGACATGACCCTTTCTTGGTGCAAGTTTGGCTTTGGGGAGTGCTTTGGAGGTTCTTCTTGATGCAACCACTGAGCTGATGTCGGCAGCTGTCGTACAAAATCACTTTTCATCACACGTCATAATCCGATTAAGAAATTGTTTGTTGTTGTTGAATGGAATAAGAGAAGATGACACTTCAAAAGGACAATTTTTAAAATTTCTGGTTAACTAATGAGGCACTCATTTATCAAGGTTTTTCACTTTTCCAATTCGCTTCAAATTTTGAATGACTGTAGAATGGCTGACACTGAGTTCTTCAGCAACAACTTGTGTAGTTGTAAGAGGATCAGCTTTGATGATCTTCTCAGTTGGTCTTGTCAGCTTTCAATGGCCAGCCACGGCACTCCTTATCTTCACGGCTCTAGTTTCCCTTGCAAAGCTTCTTGTACCACCACTACACTGTACCTTCATTAGCAGTTCCTGGGCCAAATGCATTGATGATGTTGTGAGCTGTCTCCACTGCTTTACAACTCGTTGTGAACTTGAATAAGAATATCAGTCAAATTTGTTTTTTTGTCTAACATCAATTCCCTAGTCTAAAATACATATAAAATAAACAGCAAGTAATGAATCATTAAAAAGGAAAAACTGTGCATTAAAATGATGTATAATATAATCACATTTAAGAATGTATTCCAATATCAACGGTAAAGTTCAAGAATGCACAACAGCAATTATTTTCTGCAATTACTTCTCGCACCAATCTAACAACTGAAGTTAAATGTTCAACAACACTGTTACTTTCTACTGTTATTTTTCTACAGTTAATTTTTTTTTTCCTTTTAATTGCCTTATTTCCTTAGAGAGACAAGTCTCCATCTTTTTCTGGCCCTTCCCAGAATGTCAGCCTCCTTTATTTACCCACATGAAAGAGTGATACGTTTAAGAAGACTGGCATCTGTATGAGGTATTTCCTGTTATAAATATGTGTGCAATAAAATTAACTTTCATCGTTTTGCTGAGATGACCAATAGATGTATTTCTTCATTAAGAGAAAGTAAGCTACTCAATAACCTAAATTATGGTTAATTTTAGAAGTTTTTTTTTTTAATTTCAGTGAACATGGAATCAGAACAAATGAATTCATCTGGATGATTTAACACATTTAAGTTTGGGAAAATTAAGTAAAATCACCCACAACTCCAGAAGACCTGGAAATGATACACAGCTGTATAACATATAACTAAATGTAAGTTTCAAAACAAAAATAAAGATCTAGGAGCAACGATAAGATTCAAAACCTAATAATACTCTAAGATCCATAAGAGAAAAGAAGCACTTCTGACTCTCTTAAGCTGTGAAGCAAAGGTAAAATATGTCAATTTCATTATACAGAATCAAGAATTTCTGATCGAGGGTTTTCTTCTGGATTGGCTTTAAAAAAAAAAAAAAGAATCACATACTATACGTGACTCCAAATTCCAGGTCTCAGAAGTATTTTACAATTAGCACCAGAAGATGATGAAAGAAGTTCATTTTATTCTGCTTCTTAATAAGTAGTAACTAGAGATTTTCAGGTTGAAAAAGGCACTAAAAACTTTAAAAAACCTTTTTTGGAATTTTGGTATTAAAAAATCATCCATACCTAGAGAATCCAATAAATGAAACAAAGAAGCCAAATTATATAAAATAACAGGAACACCGAGGCAGTTTCTGAACAGGAGCCGAAAGGGGATAATTTACAAAGATACAAGACAACAAAATGGTAAGAATGCATTAAAATGAAACCTTAAAAGGACATAGTCTAACTCAAAATACCTGAAGAGGGGGGTAAAAAAACAGATTAATGATGGAAAAGACATAACTATTGGAACTGACCTTACAATTTGTACAGACTAAAAAGGTAAAGATTATGTCTTATAGTGATAATCAGGACCAATTAAATAACAGATTTGGCATTTAGTAAAGGATCATGGAAAGATATGACACTGTGTTAAACATACAAGTGTGACAAACTGTGTTAGACAGTGTGTTAAAAAGTACAGACATCACTTTGCCAACAAAGGTCTGTATAGTCAATGCTATGGTCTTTCCAGTGGTCATATATGGATGTGAGAGCTAGACAATAAAGAAGGCAGAGTGCCAAACAATTGATGCTTTCGAACTGTGGTGCTAGAGAATTCTCTTGAGAGTCCTTTAAAAAGCAAGGATATCAAACCAGTAAATCCTAAAGGAAATCAACCCCAAATATTCACTGGAAGGACTGATGCTGAAGCTGAAGCTCCGATACTTTGGCCACCTGATACGAATAGTTAGCTGACTCACTGGAAAAAATCCTGATGCTGGAAAGACTGAAGGCAGAAGGAGAAGAGGGCAACAGAGGATAAGATGGTTGAATTGGCATCACTGATTCAATGGACATGAACTCGGACAAACCCCGGGAGATTATGAGGGACAGGGAAGCCTGGTGTGCTGCAGTCCATGGGGTTGGGTTGTGAAGAGTCGGACATGACTTGGCAACTGAACAACAACAGCAATAAAGGATCGAGAACAAGAGATTGTTCAATTGTTTTTACAGGTCATGATGCACCATTAATAGAATCATCTTTACAAAGTAACTGCAAAAACCATCTTTACAAAGGCATCAAAAACCAAAAGTAGCTAGTAATAAACCAAAGATACACAAAATCTCTGCACAAAAAGTTTAAAACTTTAATGGAGACATAAAAGATAAATGGACTAGCAAACTCACTACTGGAAAATATCAATATTCACACACACACATTAACCAAAACAATTAATGTAATTCCAATATACTCCCAAAGTGTGTGTGCAGAACTAGAAAAGCTGATAGCAAAGTCTTTGAAAGGTTGCGAGAATTACCAAAATGTCATATTCAGAAATATAAAAGAAGCGATGCTGTTGGGAAAATGGTATCAACAGACTTGCTTGATGGAAGGGTAGCCATAAATCTCCAGTATGTAAAAAATGCAGTAACTGCAAAGTGCAATAAAATGAGGTGTGCCAGCAAATGTTTTTATGATATATCTCTTCATAATCTCAGATTAAGGAAAGATTTCTTGAATAAGATAAAGACACTAGGGCCTTCTCGGGTGGTCCAGTGGCGAAGGCTCTATGCTCCCAATGCAGAGGGCCTGGGTTCAACATCTGGTCAGAGAACTAGATCCCACCTGTCACAACTAAAAAATCCCACATGCCTCAGTGAAGACCCTGTCTGCCACAATAAAGACCACTACAATTAAAGACCTTCTGTTCAAGCAGGGACTGGCAGGCAACCTTTTTGACAATCCCAAGTGAAAAATGGTTTAAAAAAAAAAAATTATAAGAGGCAACACAGGCCCAATGTGACTTGCAAAGCCTAGTATACTTCTATTAAGGTTTACAAACCTTCCGATATTAGACAAAACAGACCTTAAATGATAAAAGGCTGCAAAAGACAAAGAACACTGTATATTAATAAGAGGTTCAATACAACAAGAAAATTAAGATCATGGCATCCAGTCCCATCACTTCATGGCAAATACATGGGGAAACAATGGAAACAGAGACAGACTTTATTTTCTTGGGCTCCAAAAATCACTGCATATGGTGACTGCAGCCATGAAAGTAAAAGACATTTGCTCCTTGGAAGAAAAGCTATGACCAACCTAGACAACATATTAAAAAGCAGAGAAATTACTTTGCCAACAAAGGTCCATCTAGTCAAAGCTATGGTTTTTCCAGTAGTCATGTATGGATGAGAGTTGGACTATAAAGAAGGCTGAGCGCCGAAGAATTGATGCTTTTGAACTGTGGTGTTGGAGAAGACTCTTGAGAGTTCCTTGGACTGCAAGAAGATCCAACCAGTCCATCCTAAAGGTGATCAGTCCTGGGTGTTCATTGGAAGGACTGATGCTGAAGCTGAAACTCCAATACTCTGGCCACCTGATGCAAAGAACTGACTCATTTGAAAAGACCCTGATGCTGGGAAAGATTGAGGGCAGGAGGAGAAGGGGATGACAGAGG